AAATGCAGGGAATGATAACCATACAAAGGATGAAAGCATTAAATGTGGAGAATCATAACCATACACCTGTCTTTGTTGTACGTAAAGCGGCTGCAGAAATGATTTTATCATATAATATATATATTTATATATATATGGGCTTGTCGTTTCTCAAGCTGCTCGAGATAATTTTATCCCCGGCTAGTAAATCATATTTGTACAAAGATGGATCAATGATGATAAAGGAAAAGAGAGAAAAAAAGAATCATAATCATTCAAAGGTGAATCAATTAATATAAGAAACTAAATAAATAAAACAACGTAGTTTTGGGTGGCCGGAGATAAACTTATCTCAAGTTGCCGTAGAAATATTTTTCTATATATATATATATTTAAAGTGGTTGTAGCTAGGGGTGTAAATAGGCTACGCTAGGCTAGGCTTTGCCTTAAATAGACTAGGCCTGTATAAAAAATATTGGGTATGACCTGGCCTATTAGCTTGTGTAGGCCCTAAATTACAAGTCCGATCTGACCTATATTTAAAAAATAAAAAGCCTTGGCCTAGACCTGTTAGCTTGTTTAAGCCTATTAAACATTCAACAATTAAAAGAATAACTAAAATAATATTATTTTTTTATTCAAAATTATTAAAATAATAATTTTATTTATTATATTTTAAACAAGTAATATGATATAGGTTGGCCCGTAGGCTTATAGGCCCGATATGTACAAAAAAAAGTTTATGGCCTGTTTCTAAATATGTTTTTTTAAAAGCCTAGGCCTATTCTATTTATTTTTTTTGATAACAGGTCAAGTCTGGCCTAATATAGGCTAGGCCGTAGGCCCTTGTAGGCTGGCCTAGCCCATTTACACCTCTAGTTGTAGCTGTAGATAACCTTATCTAAAGTGGTTGTAGAATTATTTTTTCACACACACACACATATATATATATAGGATTAGGATGTAAGACTAATAAGTCTTACATCACATCTCAACAGTTGATTTTCGTGCATCCAACAATTATAATTTAAGAAGTTATATGAATTAATTAATATTAATTAATCATTAATTACACTACAAATACCAACCGATAATTTCCATCCATCAACGGTTGAGATGTGGTGTAAGACTTATTAGTCTTACATCCTAATCCTATATATATAGAGGAGGAATACTCTCATTACCAAAATTTTCCACTACCTATCTAATCACCATTAGATTAACATTTTCTCTTTCTTCAAATTTTTTTTAACATTCTCTCTCTTTGATCCAATGGTGATGTGATGGGTAGTAAGTTAGCAGTGAGAATTTTTGGTAGTTAGAATATCCTCACTCATACATATATATATATATATATATATATCAAGTTGACTGTTAGTTAGGACCACAAGTCGTTATCGAACAAAGTATATCTGCCTAACCAATTTAGCAATACTCCGCGGGTGACAGTCAGGACCACGAGTCGTTATCACCAATTTAGCAATACTCCCCGGGTGACAGTCAGCAATATGTTAGGGGAGGCAAAAATAGGTGAATTTCCCTAAATGTTTTGAGATCACGTCTTAACCAAAATCTAAAGTCAATGAATTTATATATCCTTTCACGTCCTTGCATAATTCATTATTTCTTTGATTAAGGTGATACATTATCTTTCACCCTTAAATTGTCGATAAATAGTAAATGCGGTGTACTTTTAGGGCCTCTTTGGTTCAAGATTTTTGTCAACTTCCCTAATAATCTATGAGTGGGATATTAAGTTTTCTTGGTTTGGTAGAAGAGAAGCAAAAACATACTCATTTTTCACGGTTGCCTAGCAATTGTAAAACATGTGCAAAAAAGCAAAAAAAATCATTGTATCACTTGACTAGGGGTGTAAATGGGCCAGGCTGGCTCAGCCCAGCCTACGGCCCGGCCTACATTGAGCCTGGCTCAGACCCGACTTTTTAGAAAAGTAGAGTAGGCTTAAGCTTATAAAAAAACTTTTTTAACAAATAGGCCATAAGCCAATTTTGTCAAGCCCGGCCTACAGCCTTGTAGGCTGACCTATTTAATTTATTAAAATAAAATAATAAAATAATATTTATTTTATGTGGCAAAGACGCAAAGTACCAAATACCAATATCTCTCACTTTTTGTGCTATTTTATTTTATGAAAGGAAAACTTGTCTAATGTCTCCAAATTTTACATGTTGTTGCAACTTAATACCATAGAGTAATGAGTACCTTGCTGGATTATGATGTTACTGATGAAGATCTTTCAATAATACTCTTATTTTCCTTGTCTTGATGGTGGTTTAAAGATTCTTAGATAAATGACATTCTCTTTTGTAGATTTTATTTCAGCATCCGGTAATTGTATTTTTCTTATTTTCTTCATTTCTTTGACTCTATTCCTCTATAATATACATTCTAGAGCTGTGGTATTATGTTGACTCTTTCTTGTTTGTCATTTTTTTTCTTATGAGAAGTATTAGTGCATGCATGAATGGAACTCTCTTTGCTCTATACAATTATTTTTTTTGCTTAGTATATACAGTGGGAGGCCTACAAGGCCTGTAGGCCATGTCAGACTTTCTTATTTTTAAAAATGGGCCGGGCTTGGCCTACAAATAAAGTCTTTAATAGACCAGTAGGCCAGATAGGCTGAATTTTTTTTGACGTAAGCTTGGGCCAAAAAGGCCAAAGTCCAGCCCAGCCCATTTACACCCCTACACTTGACCAATCTGAGCATGGTATTTCAACAAGCATAGATAAATGGCAAAAAGTGAATGATTATTATGACAAAACTACCTCAAAAAGTACACGCACAGCTACCAATCATCTCTGGTCATTAACAAAAAGTGGATGAAGAGTGGGAAAGCGTTTTCTAACATTAGCAAAATTTAAATAAAGGTTATTTTGGTCATTAATATCAATTTTTCTATCAATATTTTACTTTCAACCAAACATGGACTCATATTATTTAACTTAATTTTTTTGATAAATTTTTTTTCAACCAAACAACTTTTTAACATTTTCTTACCAAACTTATTTTTCAACCATTTTCTTACTTATTACATTTCTCTAGTATTAAAAAAAAAAATCTCAACCAAACGTCCTCTTAGGTTGTCCTAACACCAGCTCCCGTCTCTACTTTTCATGTTTCTGTGGTCCTGGACAGCAGATAAGGTCGATTATGCTATTGGCGGAAAATTGCCTGTAGTTCATAAATGGCAACGAAAAGAGGGGATTTTTTTTGGTGCTGCGATGTGATCTTTCCATTAAATAAGTAGTATTTGAACAAAAAATTATTTTTTATTTTTTATTTTTTCTATCTTCTCATTGATTGTATGATTTTAATTAGTTTGAATCACTGAGCAAATGGTGATCTGGAACCACTAAAATTCTTCTCTAAAAGAATTAAGTTTTTTACTATTTTTTATTTAACGGATCGAAATACTACTTGCGCTGAAATATTTTCTGTTCATGGCTCACCAACATCAAGCCAAACGGCAGATGGAAGAGAAAATATAAGAGAGGAAAAATGGATAGGGATAGGTGGCCTTTTGTGAGGTCCTTAAGGCGAAGATACATTTATTTTTCATTGCTCTTTACATAATACATTCTACAACAGCTGATATTTGAATTAAAACTTATTAAATATATATTAAATTTAATTTAACAGCACACATAAGTATACGGGTTACATAATATGTTCTTTTAATAATTGAGTGCAATATTCATATGTTATGTTTTGAAGGATATGGAATAAAATTATTCAATTCATAACAAAGATATTTAAAATGGGGTATAGTGAAAATATTTGGATGATTCGAGGTCATTTCATTATTTGTTTGGAAGTCATAAGGAATTGTTGATCATTGATCACCTCATTTCTCTGGCATCGTTCCTCCAAAGCTTCAAATTGAGCTTTCATGACGCGCAACAAACCCTTCAAAGCACCCCGAATCGAAGTGCTCATACTAGTTGATAAGAATTGGATCAGATGTCAGAGTTTTAAGCATTAATTTATAATGGCATTTAATTTTTTCCTTTAAATTTTAGATATAAAATAAAAAAAGTACCCAAAAATATTATCTCGAACAAATAAAATAAAATAAAGTTGCTTAACATGTAAGGAAAAAAAACAGAGTGACTTAAATTAAATGCATATAAAATGAAAAATTACATTTAAATATTATTATAAATAAAAAAAAATTAAATACGCAACCGTAAAAAAACCATAGTGACTTAATTAAATATTATGCTGAACAAATAAAATAAAATTAGGAACAGTGACCAAAGTGCCACGCTTCACCAAATTATTTATCAGACTGCTATGCCAACTGCAAAATTTCTGGAATGCCACGCGGCATAATTCACTACACTGTGTACCTAATTATGATTGCTGATGTGGCACGTCTCAATTAGAAGAATAATTCGCTACACAGTGTAGCGAAATACGTGGTCAAAATGTCAGAGTGCACAGTCAGCAATAAGACACGTGTCAGGAGCAGTAATTCGCTACTCTGTGTAGCGAATTATGCACGATGATGTGACAATGTTCTGTTGGATGAGTAATTCGCTGTACTCCTGGCTTGACACATGTCTTGTTGCTGACTATGTACTCTGATATTTTGACCACGTATTTCGCTACACAATGTAGCGAATTATGCCGCGTGTCATTCCGAGGATTTTTACTATTAGCGTGACAGTCTAGTAAATAATTTTGTGAAGCGTGATAAAATAATCGTTATTCCATAAAATTAAGTTGCTTAACATGTAAGGAAAAAAAAAACACAGTGACTTAAATTAAATGCATATAAAATGAAAAATTACATTTAAATATTATTATAAATAAATAAAATATAATTAAATACGCAGCCGTAGAAAACAACAATTTAGGCACAAAAGCTCACACACTTAAACACGCAACATTGGAAAATAACACTTCCAAGTGGCAAGTAGCGATTGTTAAGTTTCTAATTTATTCGATCCTTGACTGAAAGAGTGAAACTGAAAGTAGAAAGTAGAAAGAAAACAAAGCGTCCAATCGGTTTTCTATTTTATTGCGGTGTGACCACTCGTGAGTGGTGAGATATGGCCCTGGTGTTGAGGAGCACAATAACTGTTCCATTGTTATACAGTCACGGGTTTCTTCATGCCCAATCCCCGCAAGTCCCAAGATTCTGCAAGTTGAACAGTGACGTCACTTTCACCATGAGTTGGTTCGGATCCGGGTCACGGAGTTCCATTCGGGTACCATCAGCAAGAGCACGGGGACAGGAGATGATATTGGAGAAGCAGGAGAAGAAGGAGGAGGAAGAAGAAGGGACTCTGCAACTGCAGATGGGAATCGCCGAGTTCTACGACGAGTCGTCTGGGTTATGGGAGGATATTTGGGGCGACCATATGCATCACGGGTTTTATGACCCGGATTCGACCGTTTCTGTTTCGGATCATCGCGCTGCTCAGATCCGAATGATCGAACAGTCCCTTCGATTTGCTGGTGTCTCTGGTATTTTCTGCCACCAAAATTAAATTGATTTAATATTAAAATCCAAGTATATTCAGTTTCATTAATATAGTCAAGGGAAAGTTACATTCACAATTTTTTTTCTTACAAACAGATTACACTAAGTCTAAGTCTGTAAGTGATACACTCTTAATTGAAGTTTCAGATTTAGCGTAGTTTGTAAATTTGTCAATATAATCCTCTCATATTCTTATGACTTTCATGAAAAAATAATAATATAGGATAAGTATTTCTCCGGTCGATAAAATTATTTTCATTGAGCCAAAATAATGTCGTTTTGTAATGATAAAGACTAATATAACTTCTGCAATATATTAGAATTACAAAAATATCTTATTTTGGTCACAAAACAACATCGTTTTGTGTTCAACAGACATAAATTATCTCCATTGAATTGAATGAAGAAATGCTTTTACCTTAATAATAATAATAATAATAATAGGAATTTGGATTTTGATTTTGATTCCAAGATATGATTTATGTTGTTATTTTTGAATTTCGATTTTTTAATGTTTTGAAATGGAGATGAACTGGTAAGAATGACACTGACTGGCTACTAATTACTCTGTTTCTGAATGCACAGAGGACCCAACAAAATGGCCTAAGAATATAGTTGATGTTGGGTGTGGCATAGGTGGCAGCTCAAGATACCTGGCCAAGAAATTTGGGGCTAGGAGCTTAGGCATCACTTTGAGTCCTGTTCAAGCTGAAAGAGCAAATGCTCTTGCTGCTGCTCAAGGATTAGCTGACAAGGTCTTTGTGGGCCTTTTTTATTTGTTTATATATTTTACAAATTTTATGCTTGCTGGTCAAAATTTTGTCAGAGAATATTAATGTAACCCTCACCAAGGTTCTTGATAACTTCTGCAGAATCTAATATAATATTTGCCTTCATGTTTCTGTAATGGCAGGTTTCCTTTCAGGTTGCTGATGCTCTAGAGCAACCATTCCCTGATGGGCAATTTGATCTGATGTGGTCCATGGAGAGTGGAGAGCATATGCCTGACAAAGCAAAGGTTTCAATTTCTCTTGCAGTATTACTTGTGATTGGACTCTTTTTTCAAGTTTAATTCTGACACCAGATTTTTATAACGTATACTTTATTTATTTATTTTAAAATGGTATAAAAACCGGACCGAAAACTAATTTAAGGGATATCGCAAAACTAATGAAATCTTATTAAATCAAGTTATAAAATTTTAGAAAAAGACTAATGTCGCTATTCACCTTTATTTAGAATAAAACCATGGACAATATAAAGGTGGTTGAATCGTAATATGTATGATGTATTATTGGGTCAGTTTTTTGTATCTTGTATCATAAATTGTATCGAATCATAAGATTCAGAAAATTAATAATAAAATAATTTAAAAATATATAGTGTCATATAAATGCAAATTCCAAAAAGAATATAACGTCAATCAACAAAATACATAAGTAACTAAAATTCAAGCCAGTTATTCTCCTACTCTACTCGTTAATCATCAAGACTGATATTATCACTATCAACATCTAACAGTAACATAAACAATTCATTATTCTCTTCATTAGGTAGTCATTTCCCACATCTCCCATTTATTATTCAACAATCCGAGATTCTTTTCCTTATTAATATTGGCTTTGCAGATTGGTTTTAGAATTTAAAGCACAAATCAAATCTTTATTTTCTTTACCTTGTTAATAATGACTTTTCAGGGTTTTTTTTTGAATTTTAATCACAAATTATATCTTTATTTATTTTTCCCAACCAATAGATACTTTTTATATATTTTTTTTATGAAAATTTTAAATTTTGGTTTGATTTGTATCATACGATACATGATTCGATACTGTATCATACGATAAAGCGATACACACTACGATGCAAGACTCATTCCGATACAAACAACCGATACTTATCATGGAGATTGTGAAAAGTATCATATCGTGCCATACTAACAACTACAAAGACTTTTACAATAAATTTTGCATTATTCAATTCAGTATCTATGCGTATTACATGGCAAATATCGCAAATATTTTAATTATGTGATCACTAATAAAAAAGTTAACAAATAACAACCCAGAAAACTGATCTTTATGACTTAACTAGTGTTGTAACGTAGTATTTGTGTTATCCCTAGATATGCATCAAACGCACCTTTGAAATTGTTTTCTATTCTGTACGCTGGTAATCTCATCTTGATTTCCCGCTTCACACACAACTGATAGTTTGTTGGAGAGTTAGCTCGGGTAGCAGCACCAGGTGGCATCATAATAATAGTAACATGGTGCCACAGAGATCTTGGCCCTGCTGAAGAATCCCTAGAACCATGGGAGGAGGATCTCCTGAAGAAGATATGTGATGCATATTACCTTCCAGCTTGGTGCTCAACTGCTGATTATGTCAGATTGCTCGAGTCCCTGTCACTTCAGGTAGTTAATATACACCAAAACTCAACGCTTAGTTTTCTTCCATAATTTGAAAACTTTCATGTCCTCAACTCATTACGAATACAATCACTATGTACGGACAGTTTAAGTTGTGTTGCCTTTTTAACATGCTCACTTGCTATTTAGGACATCAAGTCAGCAGACTGGTCTCCCTTTGTTGCTCCATTTTGGCCAGCAGTGATACGCTCAGCATTGACGTGGAAGGGTCTCACTTCACTCTTGCGCAGTGGTAAGCTCAACATTCATATGGCATTTACAAACAAATCCCATATCCTATCGCAAGTCTTATGTCATTAATAATTATTTCCATAACTAAGAACATAGTTGGCCTGCATGTTCAATGAAATAGATTAAAATATGCAGCAAATTGTATGATATTTTCCAGAAAATTATCTTGTTGAAGCATAAATGACTCAATCAAATTACTTGATGAGAATTAAGAGTGAAAATGGAATGAGATTTGTTCAAAATTTGCCCTACATTCCTTTCATTTTCAGTTCTACCGAATATACTTTTCATGTTGGCTAGGCTCCTTAACTAAACAAGCACAAAGAAGTGCCTAATCACCAATGAGAAACTCAGGCTTCATCTTTGGCGCAAGGAGTGATAACATTTTAGGCTTGTTACTCTTAGAATAATAAGGAATTGCAAGTTGGAGAATTTTTTAATTAACAAGGGCGAAGAAAACTTCTAATGGATTATATCTTCTTTAAAGCTGTTATTATACACGAAACTGTTCTCTGAACAATAGAAATAATAATATATCTGCTGCCAAGACCGATGTTGGATTTTCTTGCAGAATTTCTTGACTTGTGTTTTTTTATTATTTTGGCCTGGACTAAAAACTTCTTGTGTTTTGTTATTTTTTTGGCCAGGACTAAAAACCATAAAAGGAGCTTTGGCTATGCCATTGATGATAGAAGGATTCAGGAAGGGTGTAATTAAATTTGCCATCATTACATGTCGAAAGCCTGAAAAAGTAGAGGCAGAATAATTTTTATTACATGAAACAGGCCATTTATTTTTGATATTTCAGAAATAAGAAATCAAAGGTGGTGGGAAATGGGAATTGCTGATACTTTCCTTGTTCATTTTTTATTTTCAACATAAGCTATTTGCTGTCTTGTAGCCTCCAATTGAACAAAAAAATCGACATTAACCTGTCATTGCTGGTAGGACATGTACTCTAGGTGTTTGTTGATGGTGCAAACTCAACAAAGCCGTGTACCAATACTGTCATTCAAATTTTAAAGTGGTGATTTTTCAGCCCAAAATCCAGAATATAACCCGAGTTAGACAAGTTGCCGAAGCTTTCTAGCCCTGTCAATTACCATGAGACTAACCTTAATCTTTGTTCTGAGTGAACACCAACTAGAATATGGTAATGTGTATAGGTTAAGTGTCTAGAGTATGCTGCTGCTGATGGCTAGGGTCTGGTGTAGGTGATGGATAATATGAATGCTACCCAAGAATGGGTAAATGTGGTTAATCTGAAGTGTCCTCCTTTGGTATTGTTTGTAAGCCTATGTAGCCTTCAGATGTGGCAGTTGCATCGGACGTGGTATTTGTCAGACAATTGTAGGGATCATGACCTTATCAGGTGATTATAAGTGATTGTGGTTATAACTTATAAACGAGCGGGAGAGGATAGTGGGTTTAGCAGATGGTGCTAGTCGGAAGTACTGATCCGAATAAAAGGGTCGGGTCTCTGAATGGGTTGAGCTCCCTGGACCTAGCCAGGGATGGAAGCCCGGAACAATCTTCATGTCGTGGAATATTTTGGACGAATATAACCGTATTAGACAAGTTGGCTATAAGTCAAAATCAATCTTTTAGATTTGATATTGATTTGGCCATCCATACTTTGGATGAATCGGGTCCTGATTAGTGATGACATTTATGTGAAGCGCGTTGATTGTAAAACTTATCTATATTGTGATGGCATATTTGTGACAGATCTTGCACTCGTTACTAATAATTTTCCTTATCCTAATACCAAAACAGAAGTAGCTTTTGGTTCACCCTCTCCAACTCCAATTAATCAAATGAGGGTAAAATTCATTAGGATTGTGTGAGAAACAAGGGGTCATTCAGCGAAAGAACTATCTCAAAATCAAGGGCTATACCGGTCAATCTCAACCACAAGCCAATTTGACCCAAGGTTCCAGATTGGAAGGGACTTAACCACCTTGCATTGCGGATTTTGTTTTTGTTTTTTTCCCCTTTCTTGATCACTAACCACCGATTCAGTCTACAATTAAAGGTACATCAATTGTTGGCTACATTATAAAACGAATTAATTTTGTGCTCATCTTTTGATTCGCTCCCCTTCCCAATCTGCCCTCTCCAATTTAAATAGGCGTTTTGAAAATAGCATCCGCTATGAGGTTTTGTTACCAGATTCATTAGTTGAGAAACATATTGCACATGAGGGTCATTATTAGGCACCAATGCATCCACCAAACCTAGAATTCAATCCTCAACGTCGACCTTAATAGCCTGGCCACACTAACTCGCCAATCTATTGCCTCCTTCACAATTTTTCTCCCATTGCGATGCAGCATTGCAACGCAAACCCGAATAATGCGCCACGAATTTCAAATTCAGTTAACAGAAAAAAAAAAGTTGTTCCAAGTAGAAGTAATTACATTCATGTGATTTTTCGCCCATTAAACTGAACGAAATCTAATGAAAAATAAAATAAAAGGTTTTTGAGTGCAACAACATTCTATATTAGATTGAGATTGAATTTTATGGAATAAATTATACCACAAGCGCGCTGTAGTACCTTTTCAATGCAAACATGAAATAATGTGCCGCAAACCTGAATTATAGCTTTCCACTTTTATTTGCATATAAAGTTGAATTACTTTTGAAGTTGATTGGGTTCCTCATCTAAAATTAATTATACTTATCATAAAATCTAATAGTTTTATATTCTTAAAAAAAACTTAGCACAAAATTGATTTTTTTTTTTAATTTTTTCATCTATTTATCAAATATTCGACTAATCCAAGGGCGCCAATTTATGCTAGCTGGTGGGTCGTGTTCGTCTTGGATTGAGGTTTGATACAAATACAAATACATTTATCCTGAACATGACATCTTCATGTAAAAATTTTGAGCACAATTTATTTATTATATGGGTTAGCTCGATATAATATGATTAATCCATTAACTTAGTATTATTTGTTCTCGATATTAACATGACTTATTTATTATCCAGGTTAATAAAATATAATATGATTTGTTTATAATTAAAATTACGTAAATTACCTTAAACTAATAAATAAAATTGAGGCTAAAAAAATAATTATATAATTGTGGGTCAATTTCAAGTCTATGGGTCAACATGAGTATTTTTTTTTTTTTTTTATATTGATTTTATTAACACAAACACGAAATAAAAAAAAATATGGGCCCATTCAAACTTTTGTCTGTGTAGATGTTAAAAATTTGTTAAAACCCAATAGCTGTTGGTCTACCCAGTTACACCCCAAGATTTAGTGTGTCCCATACTTGAGAATTGCAATTTCTAGAGATGATGGATAGACTCAAACTTGTTGGGTATGACTTATGATTTAGTGTGTCTCATACTAAGGAGGGTGTTTGTTAGCGGAGTTAGCAAAAAGTTATCTGAAGTTCAATCTATTGTTGAGTATTTTATTTATTTATTTCTTTGGTAGTTTGAATTTGGGTTCATGAATAATTACTGTTAGTATTTTTTAAATTTTATTTATATTTCCTTGTAAACCAAGTGACTTATAACTAGTAATAACATAATATAGATAAGTTAAACGTAACTTACATTGGATGAACTATAATAAATTATGGTGTCAATTTTTTTTCTTCCTTTCTCTTTTTTGTATTCTCAATTTCTGTATCGCTTTCCAACAAAATTCGAAATTTGATTAAACTACGCACTGGTATCTATTTTTTTTTTTGTCTAATTATGAGTTTGACAACGACTTTATAATGTGAAATAATAAAACAATTAAATTATGAGTAATTGTGAATTAATTAATTCCCTATTTGTGCTTTTTAATGCACGTTCTGCTTCAGTGTCAAACTTCAGCCAAAAATACTTTGCAATGCCGGATATGACTCAATTTTTGTAACGTGTACATAATGTTTTTTTTTATGTAAGTCCAAGATGTATTTTGCCTATATAATGGATTACATTTTTTGTAGGGTTATTAATAGAAAAATTTATTTTTCTATTGTGCTTAAAAACTTTAAAAAACAGTTTGCTATGATTTGCTTTGATTTAGAAATTGAATTTTTTTAGAAATCATTAAAAAAATGAAATTTGCATTGATTGAGATATCAAATATTATGTTTAAAATACATTACAAATAAGGGTTTTATAAGATTTATGTTGTAGGAAAAGTGATTGTGTAATGTTATAGAGATTCGTTTTGCGTGCCTTAATTTTTTATTTATTTTTTTGTTTTAAAAAGTGTGGACCCCACAAAATGTTGTGAGTGTAAGAAAGTTTGTTGTGTTATGTTAAAGCATAAAACAAAAACCCTACAAATAAAATTGATTTTACAAGTATAATAGGAGCAATCGACATTTTTTCGGTAGATTTTTTATTTTTTTGGTAGTTAGAACTTTTTTATACGTGTTATGGTGTTGAAGGAATGAAGGGCGAAGAATTTTTTTTCTTTTTAAATTATTATATTGAACAAAAAGAAAGATAAAAGTAGTAATCGAAAACAATAAAGTAGGTGAAATAGGCGTCCACAAATAGGAATCGCAATTGATTTTCGCCAACTATGTAAGTTATGTACCACTGGCCACTTCTGTTTCTTTATATTATATATGAGAGAAAAATAAGCTTAGACTAACATGATATTTGATATATCTTACGACTTACATTATACAACTTAAAAAAAAATAAAAATAGCGCATTGCCTTGCGAATTTCAGTTTCAATTAAATTTTAGCCACTGGAGAATCTAACTTTATTACTATCACCTTATTTTATATTTGAAAACAGTGGCAGAATTGAAATTTAATTTTAGCAGGGTCAAAAAATTTAACATATCAAATTATTAAAATATTTCTATAATTTTACAAATCTATTATGAAAAAAATTTACTTAACATTTTTAAAATAATAGGATTGATGTTACTTTAACAAATAATAAATATTTATTTAAAATTTAAAATATGATATAAAATTAAATTAGTAAAGAAAGTGCAAATTATATGTATATATACATATATAAAATTTTATGAATATTTTCATGTGATCTTTATGAACATTATTTTATGTGATATTAATGAAAAAAAAATTCATGTGATCTTTGTGAATACTTTTTTTTATCTTTTATATTTTAATTTGATTTGGGTCTATAAATTTTAGTTTGCAACTTGGTAGACTTTACAGGTCGATTTAGGTATTTTAGTTTTTGTAATAGGTCAGGCTAGACCTATAAATCAAGTCTTTAACATGCTAATAGACCAATATAGGCTCTAAATATTTTACATAGACTTAGGTTTAGGCTATCAAAGTCAAAGTCTGGTCTAACTTGATCCATTTATACCCCTAATCGTGACCTGTGAAGAACATCAATGTAGAAGGACATCAAACTTCACAATTAAAAAGAAACATTGAACAATCAGCAATAAATGTCTAAAATCATTTAAATGACATTGGATCCAGATAAATCATTTAATCAGTGTTTAGATATTTTAAAAATTTTAAAAATTTTAAAAATACAAAAAAAAAACAAAAAAGTTGTTAATGAATATGTACAAGAAATTTTCATACTCCATATATATACATATATCTTCATTGATTTTTCTCTTTAACAGCTTTCATTGAATAATTGCTAAAATTCTTATTCCTGTTGTGAAATCAAATACAAACACCACAGATAAACAATTCAATTCCATTACCAATAGCAACTGTAACTCTATATTAAAATAATTTTTTAGGATACCAAAAAAAAAATAATAATAATTTTTTTAAAAAAAAGGAAAATGTAAAAACAACACTTCATTTTTCAAAAGAAATAAAATCAATAAATATACCCGCATAAAAAAAAAGTTATAAATAAAAAAAGAGGGAATGAATTTCACTCATGTTAAAAACACCCAATAAATAATTATGGTCAGCAAAAACAAAGAATTTATCTTTTACAAGATTCAAAAATATAAATTAATTTTTTTTTTCCGAGCGGACAATATAATTACCAATGCATATTCCAAGAATATGTATTCTTAAAATCTTGAGAAAAGGAACAAAACATCGTACCTTATCACAGAATGGTTGGGTTCTGGGGGTGAGTGCGAATAAAATTTTTTTAGAAAAAAATCTTAATTGAAAAAAGATGAAAGAAGAAGAAATTAAGAAGAAAACAATTTGTTATATGATCATACAAGCAAAGCAAATTCGCAAATTAAACTCATTAATTAATTATTAATTTACAATAAATGATAACCGTTGATTGGCAGAAATCAACGGTATTAGGATATGGTTGTAAGAGGTTTTAAAAAAAAAGTTATAAGTATAACCTTCCTCTCTTTCTTTTTTGGAAATTAACATGAAGATAAAAACAAAAAACAAAAACTAGCTACAAACTCTAGGCCACCCTACTCCTATAGAGTCAGAGAATAGTCTGCCAAGGCACCCTTGTGGAGGATCAACAAATACTTGAGTCTGCCAATTAAACTCATACGAATAGGAGGCAAGCCAATCAGCCACACTATTTCCTTCACGATGAATATGAGAGATGTGCACTCTCCAGTTTCTGGTCACCAATTCTCGGATGCTTCTTACCAAAGGAAAAGATGGGTGTGTTTCACTACAACCATTTCTAATGAGATGTTGAGCCACCAATGAGTCCCCTTCCAACCAAATAACTTTGAATCCTTTGTTCCAACTGAGATTTAGGCCAACTAAACAAGCCCATAGTTCAGCATTAAGAACGTTTCCACACCCTAGATTCTTGCAGAAACCCACAATCCAATTTCCTGTTGAATCCCTTATAACCCCTCCATAACTAGATTGCATAGTACTTGAGGAGCTTGTCTCATCAATGTTTAGTTTCATCCAATTATCAGGAGGCCTTATCCACATAATGAACTTCTCCGAACGAGTTGACACTTGTAAGCCTGACATGCTTAACATTTTATTTGTATAACCTTCCTCTAATTACTTATATAATTATATATAATAAATAAAATTTATAACAATGTAGCTGGTCCCGGGTCCAACCTAAATATAACAGGGCTACGCCACTGTTTGAAAACAATTTTTAATTTACAATTTATTAAAAATAAAATTACTTTTATGCCCTGTTTTTTTCAAAAAAAAAATAATGAAGACGAATCAATAATAATGCTTCTATAACTGAACAAATTTATGTCTAATTTGTTGTTTAGAAAGCTTCAATGCATAATTCAAGCAAAATTTTACTTCGCATAACTTTTGTCCGAAGTTTGATTTTAAAATCCCCAAAAAAGAGAGAGAGGGGGGAGAAAACAAAACACGTTCTATAAATATTGTGTGTGGCACACACCGAATAAAGCATGTTTTGTTGAGATCGTTCGTAATCTGGAAGAAGGTATAACAATATTCTTCTTTTTCGCATCTTTGGATTCAATTATCTCAATATTTTTTTCTTTTTCTTTTTTACCAGTCAAATATTTCTTTTTCTGAAAACCCACTCTCTCTCTCTCTCTCTCTCTTCTCAGCCTCTTCCACTCTCTCAACCCCCACACACAACACTGTCCTTTGCCTCAGTTCGTTAGGCGCACTTTCCACAAACCCATACAAACCCTTCCTTTTTCGCTCCTATTCAATAACCAGCTCTCACTCTATTTTTCCTCCGCCACCGTTTTCATCGTCGACCACGACGGCGCCACCATGTTCTCCTAGACCTCCGGCGTCCCCCGGGTACTCACTCCATTTCTCTCTTTCTAGGTTCTTCTTCTATTTGTCTCTTTCATTTGTTCTGTATATTGTTGTTGTCGTCGTCGTCGTTGTCGTTTTTGTTTGAATATTAGCATTTTAGAATACTGGTACTGCTTTTTGATGTAACGTTTCTTGATTGACTCTGTGTGGGTGATGATGTTTGATTTAAGGTTGGAAATGGGAGAAAAAGTTGAGAAGGGTTTAACGGACACAAATGGTTGAGATCTTTGAGAAGAAGGGTTTAAGGGACAGAATGTATCTATCATTTTAATGTTACCCAAAAATTAAAATCTGATTGAACAGTTTTTTTTTTTAAGTTTAATGGATTCACCAGAGGAGGAAATAGGTGGAGAAGAGGAGGATTTTCCACGTTATAAGAGAGGGGAACATATTTTTAGATGAGCAAATATTAAATGTACATCTTAATTATCGAAAGGTGAATTTGTTCTTTTTTTGGTGAATATCAAAACTCAAAAGGTAATATTGGTAATGAAGTTTTTAGCATCTACTGATTTTATTTTGTATTTTATTTTAATTTTGTTAGGCCTTTACGTCTTTCATGTCTTCCTTATGATAGTAATGAAATGATGGTAATTGTTTCTGTAGGTTTTTCCTGGACAACCCTGAACATTTTGTTCCGTTCTTTTAGCTCTTAAAATGAAACGACAAACCAATGGCGTGTCTAGATTTCATAAGGCAAATAATGCTCAAGTTGAAGGGCCTAACTGGCTTCTTATTGCTGCTGGTGCTTTGTTGAGTACGTTATCCATTCGCTTTGGTTACAAGTTGAAACAGGCACTTGACTCAAAGCCGAAGCAGAATGCAACCACTACTCAGAAAGGTGCTTATATACTGTTGGGAGGATTCCAATCTTCCTGTTCTGTATTTCTCTTCTCTTTTTATTAACTACTCTTTATCCAAATGAGTAAACAAATGTAATACTCAAAATGGTTCTATAATTTGATTGGCATAGATGGTTCCTTTGTCTATGGTGACTTCTAACTTCATTTTTTAAAAAACTTCAGCAAATGGAAAATCCTCCAACACAAGGAAATCTGCAGATTGCTTTATGCAGTCTAATGGATATTCCCAAACACAAGATAATCATGGCTGCTTCAGTTGCATTCCAGGTTTAATTTGTGCTTCAGAGATATTTTTGATTTTCTGAGTTTTAATGACAAGGTGTAGTTTATTTTTTGTTGATTTTTCTTGTACTTTTCTTTGTCCTCATTTAGAAATTTTCCTTTTCTATCAAGAAAATTTGTTTTTGAATTTTGAATTATGTTGGATTTGTATAAAATGTTTTCTTGTATACTGTGATATTTTTATTTTTTTTTCATTTGCTAAGACCTGTAGGGTTTATCACTGCTTCCTAGTTTAGTCCACTTGTTATATATTGAGTTTTAGTGGAACCTTATTCCACTCATCCCATGTTCCCAATGGGTTGTGAAGCTATCAATCATCTCTTTATTCTTCTTTATTTCTTTACTCACATTCTCATCTTATTTACTTTTTATCCTCCTCTGGTGCTAGTTCTATATCAATGACACTCCTATCGAATATCATTGTTGCATGTGCTAATAATATTGAGAAATTCCACATAACATTGGAGATGTAGGAAGTGGTGGGAAGATGTGACTTATTTATCAGTACTCTTAAGCTATGATGGGAATGGACACAGAGATGTCTAATCAAGCCATTGAGTTAAACATTCTGAATCTAACTGTAGCTCAGCAATGTATAATACTTGATATTTGATCTTGTGTTTATTGTAGAATAATTGCAGTAGTGGAGATCAAATTTTTTATGTGGTTTCAGCAGATGTAATCTATCTTGTTTACTGACCAAGAGATGCAAACTAAACAAATAGCTCAGACATTTAAAGCAAACCTGGATTAACTTATTCTGGAATGTATTAGTTGATGGGCTTCCATTTGAAGTTGATTGCTGTCTGAGAAAAGCTTGCCAACTTTGTACATGAGTCATTCCCAAATAATTGGTGATTATATTTTATGGAATAAATAAATCATTGGTCTTTGTAGTTCATGAATTTGATTCTGCATTCTCTGTGATATAGTTCGCTTGACATCCTTCATTTATGGTGCCTTTTTGTGGGGCAGGTACCATGCCCTAAATGTTTTAGCTTGTTGATCTGTTACGTGTTGCATGTGGCTTAGATTTTCTGTGTGTATGATGTTTGGGACAGGAACTGGAGGTAATATGGAACTAAAGTGCCCACCAAATGGCCAGATGTTGAGTGAATTTGATGGGGCCCTCCCTTTGGTGACTGTTCCTGCTGCTGAATATAGCAAGGAAAATGGTGTTGTCTGGGCATGCTCTCCTGATCGTCTTGAATTACCTTCAAAGCCATTCCACCATTCAAATTGCTCAGATTCACCATGTGTATCAGAATCTGGTTCTGATATTTTTAGTAAGCGTGAAGTCATACAGAAGCTGCGGCAGCAATTGAAGAGAAGAGATGAAATGATACTAGAGATGCAAGATCAAATAGCTGAATTGCAAAATTCACTTAATGCTCAGCTGGGGCTTTCTTCTCATTTACAATTGCAGCTTGAGGCTGCAAACAGGGGCTTATTTGATTCGGAGAGAGAGATCCAACGGCTGAGGAAAGCAATTGCAGATCACTGTGTTGGACATGTTCCCCATGACAAATCTTCCACAATCACAGCTTGGCCTGCCGAGACTAGAAATGGCCATGCAAATGGACATCTTGATGGGGAGAATAATTTGGAGCCCCCTGAAAAAACAAGGGATGACGACGACAGAATTGAGATGCTGAGAAGGCAAGTAGGAGAGTTGAAAGAGGTAATAGAAGGAAAAGAATACTTGCTCCAGAACTACAAGGAGCAAAAGGGGGAACTCTCTCTGAAAATTAGGGAATTGCAGCAGAGATTGGATTCTCAGCTGCCTAATATTTTGTAGAAGCAGTCAAGTTTGTGAATTCATTACTTTACATTTGAGAAATCTTCACTGTCCTCATTCTTTATTTTCTCTCTGTAATTAGCTTAGCTTTGATTGCTTGATAATACATTTTGAGTTTTTGCGAGTGTGTTAGAACACAATGAGCCGGTGGGTTGGGTAATTGAAATGGTAAGATGACTGCATAGCGGTCTTATAAATTGAAAATACTACTTTTTTTGTTGGGACAAATTGATCAATGTATGAGAGCTTCGTGTCAGTAAGCAATGGCGGATTACCAGTTAAAGATGCGGTGGTGATACCTACAAATATACTTTGATGCTTAATATATTTTCAGAGCCAAAAAAATAAATAAAATGTAGGTCAAAGAAATGAACATAATTAAGGTATTCCTTGTGTGTTTTATGTAAGGTTAGGCTACCTATCGTTTAAGTAGGACAAGTGCATGTCATTGGGTTTGAACACATTAGTATTATGAATCCATATAATTGTGAACCGATTCTCGAGTTTAGATAGTGAAGTCAACTTAGGGGATGAGACTTGATCTTTGGCACAAGCTTCTCTTTTTTTAAAACAGGCAAGTAGTTATAGTTTCTTATTTATGTGTCAATTTGATATAAATCATTTTTAATACAAAAAAAATAAAAATTAATGAAGGAAGTTCTTCCTGTTTCAATGATCGGGCAAATCACAGTTTATCTACTAACAAAGAATTCTAAATTTCTTGTAAAAAAGAAAAGAAAAGAGAATTCTAAATTTCGAACTCAAATTATGCATTTGTCATACTATAAGGTTGCCCAAGTAAGTCAATGTTATTAGCATCAAATTATGCATTTGTCATACTACAAGGAAGTCAATGTCATACTATAAGGCGTGCTTCAAAGTACTCATTTGTTAGGTTATTTACAAATTTAATTCCCACTAAGGTTAGAGGGACCATTCCCTTCCTTTCTATTCAGAAATTTTATATTCAAATTAGGCTAACTTACTATTTCAGGTTAGTGTTATGAAATTAGATGTCGAAGTTTGTAAGTTCAAATTTTTGTATTATTATTATAACCGAAAAAAATTATGTGGTCCTTTATTTATTTATTTGGATGTCAATTTATCCCTTATATTAAACACTAACTTAAGAGTAGTTAGAATAGAAACGTAAGTTGCTTACCAAAAAAAAAAAAAAGATAATAGAAACGTAAGTTCTATGCATGTAAACAAAAAAAGTTGTAACATTATAGTCTCAATACTAAGTAAAGTGTACATCTCAATACTGTATAACTAATACAACATATATACTTAAAATTTGTTATTAATGAATTAATTTAGAAAAAAAAGTGATCAAAAAATAAAATGACATATCTGTATTAATTTTATACTTAATTATAATACAGTAATACAAAAAACTGATTATTTTAAAATTATACTATCAGGACATAAAGTGCTTTTTCAGTAGCATTTTGGACAGGTAACGCCACATAAAATGCCAACTCATCTCACAATTTTCAAGCGACCAAAATAGGTTTAACTAATACAAAAAAGAAAAAGAAAAAGAAAAGAAACTGAGTCAATGCGTAGAGTTGTGTTAATGCTCCACGCAATATCAGAACCTACGGAGTCAAGGATCCCTGGGCGTAACCAAATGGTGGTAGCTCAATTGGTGCATAGAAGCTGAGCAGGTGGAGTGTGAGAACATGTGTTCGAACCTTCCCAGTACCATCTTTGGAAAGAGTTTAATGCCTTAATCCTGAACCCGTCCCAAATTGGACTAGTCGCGAAGCGATGAATCGATGAAATATTTCAAAAAAAAAAAAAAGGGATCCCTGGGCGTAGACGTGAGGACATTTCTTTATTGTCAGAGGGGCATAAAACATGTGTTGCAACTTGCAAGGAACATAGGATATATTCCAACGCATTCAAGCATTAATGTAATGTATAATAACAACTTTTAGCTATCTACAATCACCACTCTCCCACGTGGAAATCAAATAGGGCATGAGCATGACCTATAACTAATTCGTTTACGTAATCTTATCAACCTGTACACTGCGCTGTCATACCTTATTTTATTCGGAAAGTGCACATTACTCTGAAAACAAATTCTGTGCAAAATGTGAACTATTGTTATTCATACGTGCATATGGCATCTGACTAGGATATTAGTACTTGAAAATAAATTTGCTAGCAAAAGTACTGATAATGAAAGCTAGCAATTTTACACCTGCGATCCTATAACTAAATCCGCGTCATCTAAAATATAATTTACCTTTTCTGATAAATATGGTAGTAAAGATACGATCGTGACCTGCAAAATCAGATGCCAAAACGATGAAACCAGAGCTTCCCGGAAAAGTAAGATATACATTTGACTGAATTTGTATGCTTATATAACACTCCTTTGAACCTAATGATCCAACCATGTGCGCTACACTAGGCTAAGAGCATAAACTAAATATTCATCCAATCTAATACTGGTTCAATAGTTTTCCTTCCGCCCTTGTGAATGGATATTCATCTGAGAAAGTAATCTTAAGATAGTAACTTGAAGACGATGGTTGATGCCCAGGATAAAGATTATTTTCAAAATGGATATTGATCCCTTACACATAATACAAACCCTCCCGAAAGTTTTTATTCAATCACTGTCGAGAATCACCTAGCATTCAAATCAAATTCACCAGCTTCACGCCAGCCATCCTGGGTGCCAGTGTCTCCATTTTCGGCTTCATCATTCAAGAAATCCTCAGATGGCTCTTTCTCATCTCTCTGTGTATTGTTTCCCCAACCATTCATCATCTCAACTGGGTTACCTCCCTGATCCTGCTCTCCCATGTCATGATGACCATGTGCACTTCCTCTTATGGGGACTCGAGACATCATTTCAGCATGAGATTGTGAATCAGCCCGAGCCTGCTCTGCTTGAACCATTGCTGCCATCCGTAGTTTAGCCTCATGGGCTTCACGACCAGCCTTCTCCCTGGATTCTAATTCCGCTCTTAGTTCCAACATAGCCCGTTTTTCCTCTTGGAGTAGTGCCTGCTCAATCATCAATCTCTCCTCAGACCGGAATTCCCCCAAACCTCTCTTTTGGGATATAATGTTGAAGGCAAGTGCTTGTTTCTCAAAAGTTGCAGTGAACTCAGCAATTTTAGCAGCAATATTATTATCCCACTGCTGGGACCGTGAAAGAACCTGGCCGGTGGTGTCAGAATCAAGTATCCTATCATCCTCTTCTGCTTCATAGTCTGCCACCACATGATATGGCAATAATCTGCAGGACGAAAATTTAGGGAAATTCAGAAACATAAGAAAAAACTACTAGACACAGGCTAAAATTTGGGAATTGCATTACGAGCAAATTGCAATTGCATTACACTTTAAAATTTGGGAATTTTATTTTTGTACCAGCAGTATTCTTCCTTTCAATAAAAAAACTACTAGATACAGGCTAAAATTGGCCAAAAAAGCACTTTTCAAACATTATGCTTAAATTAGTATTAGCATATTTCAATGAAATGCAATCAGGATCAAGAAGCATTTAAAGCAATAATAAGATTCACACATAGCAAGTAATAGGAAGTTATACACAGCACTGATTGTTGTTTTAATTCATCATATCAAACCATTGAAAAACCAAATTGTGGATAGCTAGCTAAAATTGAGATCATAAAATATATATTTTATATTCATTTAGGTAAGCTCAACATGAATGTCATACCAAGCACATCAAGGCCCCCAATGAAATCATGTGGTCAAATTTACAGAAGGAAAAATATCATGCATTTGCAGTATATGAATAAACTAGTAGAGTTCCAAGTTGATTTCTATATTACAACAAACCAACTGTCAGTCCTGCTTCAATTGATTGAAGTAAATTAGCGCATATCAATTGACTAATGGTAGAGTAAGGATTCAATTTTGCTAGAATCTAAACGTTACAGGTTCTGCAAAACTATAACTAAATAAATAAAGCATGCATATTTGCACCCCAAAAAAATAAAAATAAAGCATGCATGTAGTAAAATTATAAATAAGGACACGGGAATAGATAAAAACTTAATTATATGGTTTTAAACATAAATAGAGAAATTTTGATATGATACTGGAAACAGGGTCAATGACAAGTTGGAGTACTAGATGACATATGCTAAATAATTCTAAAAGCAGAGTAACTAAACATAACATGGCGTCAAACATGTACCACAGAAGATCAAAGGTTGAAAATTGAATATATAAGACCAAAAGGACAGATTAGAATTAAACTTGAAATCAAATAAAATGAGGAAAGCAACATGAGAGTATACTGCAGGTGCATAGCAAAAACAGATAAGTAGCAGGTTGCTGTGAGAAAAACCGCAAGTGAAGAGATAAAACTGGTATTCAGACCAGAAAATTGATGCCAAACAACATCTAAAATCATATAGCCTATGGGCTATAATGTAAGCACATAACAAAAACATTGATCAGAATTTTTGGCTGGCATCAGCTTAAATGAATGAAGCATTAACGATGATCAACATTACTTTCAGTATCTTTCTAATCCCAGCTAAAATTACGATGCACCACCCCATAACATCTCATATTTCCTTTCGTTACACAGAAATTAGCATCATGAAGAGAAAAGTTTGCCAATTGGAAATCCATTCATAGAAAATAAACAATTTGCAATCAATTTTTCGTACTTGTTGGGTAGTGGAATGGTAAAATCTATTCAGAAACAGGCATTTGACAACATAAGAAGGACGGTGTGAACAAGCTGAAACCACCCTATGACCAGTGCGGGACACCTAGCAACCAGCAGATGGCCACTGACAGCTAGATGTAGCCCAAACACTAATGAGAACAATTGACAGTTTGACTTTTGCCTTTAAACTTCGAGAAATTAAAACCAATCCGTACTGAACGTAGTAAAACCCATAAAAAAAGGAAGGTAAAAAAGTACAAGATATAGTTGAAATTTGAAAAGGTTGTTATCATGAAACAATTAAAGGACGCTTTAAAAATACAGTAACATGAATCTCTTCGATGGTTCAATGAAAGCAAATAACACATATTAGTGTAGAAACAGTATCTACAGTGACTGAAACCAGATCAATCTTCATGCCTTTATTTTAATTGTTATAATTTGAGTCTAGTGCTGCTGAGTCAGCATGTTAATAGTTAGTTAGCTTCAAGTAATCATTTTCTGTTGCACCCGAATCTTTTAAACGGTTACTGATCCAGCTTGCTTTGCAAGCTTGTGTAAGGCTATATATTCATCTCTGTTATTGCAGATATTGACTAGGAATGAAGATCATAAACACAATGCTCTCACTTTCTCTCTCTGCTGTTTTCTCTCACTTTCCCTCTCTTTCTGTGATGGTATCAGAGCAGTTGATACTGTTTCTACTCTAATAACAGGCATGTCGAAGAAATGCATTCATATCACATACAGTCATAACAGAGAAGTTAATATTTGAATACCCCATATGTGTCTGATACTTCTTTTTTGCAAACTTATTCCATCTGATTCTCATGAGGTCATGAGGTTACTCCAGAAATTCTACAACGTTATTCTTCATTGGACTGGACAACAGAATCATATTTACACCCCTTTCTCTAAAAAGAAAGTTTGAAATGTAAAAGAACAGGGAGTCTCCTATTTTCACACAATGAAACAGTAACATCACTGGTGTATGTTTATCTATGAGAGGACAAGAATATATCATGCAAAGGACTCATTTCATCATAACAGATTAAGTAATATACCAATATTTGTCGAATGATCCTAGTATTTTAATCATACTTCTCATATACAATTAAAATTATATTGTTCATTAAACATATCTGATCTGCTGGTTTTTAGACACACAAAAATTTCCAGGTGCAGCAACAACCAAAGCTCCACATACTCATCTCAGTGAGTGAAATACTGAAATGGCACAGATAATTTTAAATATTACTTCTTTAAGAAGCTTCACTCACATACTCAACTGCAAACTATCCCAACATGGTATCATTAATAGCTTCATTCAATGACAAGGGCATTTTGTCATCCCTTTACAATCAACTTCACAGTAAAAGCATGAACAAATCACAAAACAGGAAGGCTTGAGAGAGCTAAGAATATGAATTGAGTCTCAAAAAGAACTTCAGAATAAGCTACATTAAACAAGTGATTGCAAGGCCATAAACATAATTCCTGAAGGAAATCACTCAAAAGATGCCACCATCATAAACGTTATATCAGCAAAACATAGATTATACATCCACATAATAGCATCAAAAAGGCTATTGTTTCAAAATTTTCAATTGCTTATACACAAAATAGTTAGCCTCTGTACTTATTGTTTATATGGGGTGTTCATCTTCTTAATTCTTTGTAAAGTATTTTCAGGTATCAACATGCAAATCCAATACAGCACTGGCACCCCAAAAAAATTCTGTTCGTAAGCTTAGATGCTGATCTCATTCACATGAATTTTCAGTAGGAGAAAGGTTTCATGATATTTCAGATAAATCCCAAAACCATTTATCCTTAGCATACATGTGATTTTTCCTATTTTCTGGAAAAGACATTAACTGATTAAACAAGCATTACAAGCTGCTTTAACATCTAGATACTGAGTGGCCAAGTGTTGCAAGATAACACTTTTCCCATCCTTGTGCGAATTGATATTATTGACTAAGAAAGCACAAAGAAAACATGATAGGTACGCAGCATTAGGGGAAAAAAAATATTATTTTTGTCTACACTAAAGATTTAGCACAACACAACAAATATCGAGGTATTCAGAAAATAGCAGGTAAATAACAATTAGCAAGGTTTGAGGCCTTTTCTAGGTAAAACGGGTTAATCAGTAATCACCATCCAAATCATGCCACATCAAACGGTATCCAAATTATTAAATCCCCAGGATATACAGGAAGCAATCTAATAGTTATCATCTTTGACCCCCTTGACAGTGTATAAATAAAGTATGAAAAAATCCCATATAAATTGGAAAAAAATAGAATAAAAAAAAGGAAGGAAACAGAAACTGAAATTCAAATATGGAAAGTTCCTTCATTATTTCCGCAGTGAGCAAAAACAAACACGCAAGCATCATTACATAAAAGCACACAAAAACATCATGTTGGAGATACAAACGAAGCTTAGGGTTAAGAAATGAACCTCTCGCAGGCATCTTCAAGAGAAGAGAAGGGTCGCTTGAAATCCGGATGACAGACCCGCCAAGCGTCTTGGTATGCCATCTGGAGCTCCATTTGGTTCCCGGGTCGAATAGCCTTCTGCTGCTGTTGCTGTTGCTGTTGTTGCTGCTGCTGCGGCTGTTGCGATTGCTGGGGCTGTTGCTGCTGCTGCTGCTGCTGCTGTGGAAGGTGGTTAGAATTAGGGTTCTGGTGCAAATTGAGGATGGGATTAGGATTAGGGTTGGGTGAAGGGTTAGGGTTAGGGTTAGGGTTTTGTTGGAGATTGAGGGGTCTAATAGGACGCAAGTGAGCATCAATGTTTGAAGGGAATCGAGAAATGGCAGCTGCTTGTTGTTGTTGATGTTGTTGCTGCTGCTGCTGCTTTTGCAATTGCTGTAAGAGCAGCAAATGTTGTGGATGCTGATGCTGATGTTGATGTTGATGCTGTTGTTGTAATAGTAGTTGTTGCTGCTGATGTTGCTGTTGCTGGTGCAATGCCTTTGCTTCTTCCATTTTTTGCAAAAGAATTGAAAAAAAAAAAAATGAAAAAAAAATTCTCAAAATTCCCTGTATTTCGAAAATCGAATCCCCTTTTAATCTTTGAATCCAGAGAGAAGAAAAGAGTAGAGAAGAGAAATCCAAATAGCCATTAAAAATATATTCATTCTTTCATTTCATAGTTTGGTGTTTTACTCTACACAATCTTATTCCTATCAAACACTCTCACCTCTGCAGAATGCAATGACCCAGATGTCTATGCTTTTACTTCTTCTTTTTTTTCTTTTTTCTTTTTTTTCACGATGAACCAGTCGGGTCGGATCCATAACCCGATCCTCGGTTAACGATGTTAATCATTCATCTATTCTGTTTTATCAGTTGCTTAAAAAATCATTTTTCTATTTATTTTTATTTTTTTAAATCTGGCTGGTGTTACTAATAATAAATAGAAAGTTAATAATGCAATAAAAAAAAATTTATAGTTAGGGTGATTATTAGGGGTGTAAATGACCATGCTAAGTTTTTGTTGTGTAAAATATTTTAAGACTATCTATTTTTATAAAATAAATTTATGACTATGATCTATTCTATATTTAAGAAATAAAAAATCTATTCTAAGCTTTTTAAGCCTATTATATCTTTAAGAATTAAAAAATAATTAAAATAATAATATTTTATTATTTAAAGTTATATAAATCATAATTTTATTTAAAATAAATAATATGATATAAATTACACTTTATAAAAGAAAGTATATAACCTATTTTCTAAATATATATATTTTTTTAAAACAGAACATATTCTATTTTATGAGATATAATAAGTCAAGTTTTACCTAATGTAAATTGATTCATACGTGTATAACCCATTTGTGTTGTGCCACTAGTTTATATAATAACTTTCTTGATATTTACTAATAACATAATGATAAATAAAAAGAAATGATGAATATATTTAATTGGGTAATGTTGTTAAATATCCGAGCATAGGTTTTGTAAAGAGAATATTAATACACTGAAAATAATATTTTAAGTATTTAGTAGAGTATAATTTTGTCGAATGTAATTTTTTTCATGATTAAAGCAAATTAATTAATTTTTATATTACTTTCTCCCAAATGGCAGATAAAATATAACATTGAATAAATCGTTTTATCCTTTTTATATTTTACGTTAGCTTATTTTTTATGTATGTGAAATGGGTTAAGCCCAAACAATAAATGTTAGCTTATTTTTTTCTTTACCTGTAAAACTCTTAGGTATGCATGATAATGTTTTCGGAATTTTTTATTTTCAATTTTAAGAAATAAAAATAATTAAAAAATTATTTCATAAAATCGATTTATTTTTCCTGTTTTATAGAACGGCTGTTTGAGAACATACATCAGCTTACTTTATATCATGAATTCAACATTTTTCTATTGCAATGATCTCCTTTTAAAATTGAAATCAAAATATTATGTAAAATCAATCAGTATAAATTGTCAAAAACACCTTTAGGGAACGTTTGGTTGAGGAGAAATTTTATGAATGATAGGAAAATGTTATAGATAGGAAAATAGTTGGAAAGTGAGATAGGTAGAAAAATGTAAAAAAAAGTTATTTGGTTGGAAAAAAATTTACCAGGGAAATTAAATAACTTTTATGAAATCTATGTTTGGTTGTAGATAAAATATAAATGGAAAAATAAGTTGGTTTTACGAAAATAACCCTGGAGTTGTCAAACCAAGAAAACTTTTTATTGTTTATTTTAAGAAATTAAAGGATTGCTTGCTTAAATCAAAAGAGGCAGTTGGTTATTAATTCACGTTATTTGGAATTAAATATCTCTTTCATTTCAAGTAACTGGCAAAACTTAAGGAAATTCACACAAATTTTGCGAACTGCAATTCTCAGGCTGCGAAAGCACAAACATATATTTTCCTTGATCTTTAAATGTCACGTGCACAAACTGCAATTCTCATGCTGCTAGGTCCAAGTTGCATTGACGAATAATGCAAAAGGATAGCTCACAAATTAGCCATTAATCTTCCCATTTCAGTCCAAAGAAGAAAGCATGACCCCGTGCAGCTGCCAGCCTTCTTTAACATGTAAATTAGATTGATTTGCGCGTTGGCCTCCTTTCTGAAGACAGGGCAGTTACTTAGTGGCAAGAGTAGAAGATTGATTGCTGGAGAGTATCCTGTATATCCCTCTAATAGTAGCTGGGGTTGTTCTGCAACAGCCACCTACAAGGGAAGCCCCTAACTCACACCATTTATTTACATACGAGACAAAATCTTCATCTGTAACACCAGTATTTTGCTGCAACAATAACAACCTATTATTACTATTACATAATTCAAGAAATATCCCAAAAATCTCTAACAAATTATCTCCATTTTATATTTTGTCACTCACAAATATAAGGACATTAGGTATGAAGTACTTATAGCTTTAACAAACCATCAAGTCCATAAACTCGTAAAACCAGCTTTAACAAATTATCTCCATTTTATTCCTTTCTTTTATTTAACAGCATATGAAATGATAGTACAACCAGATGAAATCAACTTACCACCCACTCCTTTACGTCAGCATCATAAGTTTCCCCACTGTTTGGATATATAACAATTGGTTTTGTAGTCACCTGAAGAAATTACATATCAATCAAGGATAAGTGTTCCACAAAGATAATTCTCATAACTATAATAATTTATTAACAGTGACCTATTTTCTAACAAGAAAGTAACACATAAAAACAAGGAAAAAAGGACATTATCCATGTCAAAAGACAAATAGTTGCACACAAATGTGAAAACTGTACCAGGGTATAGGTTAAGTACTTTAGTCAAAGAAGTCTCCATTCATATAGGTCGTCTTTATAAATATATGCTAAAGGCTATTTAAGATATTATACAACTCACAAACCTATACAGATTAACATCCACTTGTATTTATTATCCACCCAAATAGTATGTGACTTAACAAAAATAAATAAAAATAAAAACAGCTTGGCAACATAGATACCTACACTTTTAGAAATGAAACTGCATTAATTAATAAAGACCCAAGAGAATAGGAGAGGATGATTGAACAAAATATTATGATAAATGAAGTTCAACAATTAACATGACATCCTACTCAGTTAGAAAAGAGAGAACCTGAGGTTCTACCTTCTTAAGCAATACTATCAGACCATGTATAAATCTAGGTGGGGTACAGTTTGATTCCAACAGCAACAACTTTGTTGCATGATTCAGCAATGGAGCCACATTCCAGTAAAGAATCACCACTTACAACATTAATTCCATCCTTAGAGTTAAAAGAAAACCATGCTGGAATCTTTATGTCCCCTTCTTCCAGAAGCTCTGCATAAGCCTGCTTAGTCCATAAGTATAGTTAGGGAGATTCAGGAAACAAGTCAAGACCAAAATAAATATTGTAAGTGGAGACTTACAAATTTTAAATGTCCAAGCTTACTTTCCGTTTAGATAATTGATTGTTGTATACTTGTTCTGGAAGTTCAATTGATTATATATGTCTCAGTGATTTAGTCATTATATGAAATTACCTGACTAGCGATTTTACCCTTTCACAAAGGCAATGGAAACTCCATAACAGAAATTTAATGCTTTATCAGTCTCTTGAGGTTTAGACAAGAAATGGCAGATTTTAGGCCAAATTAAGTTGGGAAGACTATTATAGAAACTGAAAAACTCTATGGAGTGAGAAAGATCGGAATAAAGCCTTGATAATAAGATTACAAAAAAGACAGTGTTAATATCAGGAGCAGTTTTTTGCCTTTACCATATCCGGACACATCATATGACAGCCTTGCTAGGTCTTCTGGCTGCAGTTCAAACTACATATTAGGCAAGGTGTGCTAGGAACTGGGATAAAGAATTAGGAAATAACAGTGAAGAACCAGAATTTTACTGCTGTGACCTCTTCCCCAGGATCTATAACAGGAAATGAAAGGTAGAGATTGATGACAAACTATAATGGTGTCTACCTCTTTCTCTCCCAATTCCAGGGATTAGAAAACTACAATGGTGTCAAAGGTTTAGATAATTCATGGTAACATGGGGATTCATCTTTTGGTTTTTATTGATCTTCTCTGACTTCTAGAAGAAAAAAAATCTAAAAAGACAGCTAAAAATAAACATAGGAAGTAGATTTTAGCATTTGAATGCACAAAGCTTTTAGGATACCTGAGCTTCAAGCTTATTTGGCACTGTCTCAAAAGCAAGTAGGTCAGCACCTGAACCTGCTAAAATTTGAACTCTTCTCCGATGAAAATTTTTATAAGAGTTTCCAACGTCATAGCATCACCATAATCCCCACTGTTAGGAACAAAATATCAAAAAACATGACAATCAAAAAAATGTGATTGCTATTAGTGCCGAGAATAGCAGCAAAAGTTTATCAAACCTCAAACTTTCAAAAATGTTAACAATTATATGCAGAGAAATCTCAAAATTGTACACACATGCAAGATGACTAAGAAATTCATTTCACACAACCTTTTGAAATTTCTATTCTAAGAACCAGAAAGATTTTTGCCAAAATAACAAATTCCAAGCTAAAAAAGCCACCTTGGAAACATAACATATCTTGAATATCATTTTGATTGTTAATCAACAAATGGGCTCCACAAGTAAACAAAAACCACAGCTGATGCTAAATACTAGATATTGGTCCTTTCACCTGTACTCTGATCCGTCAGCCAAATAAGCTCCATAGCTCCCCACTGATGCTGCAATTAGTATAGTGCGTTGTTTGGGGATTCTACCATCAGCCCCACCACCCGAAGAGAATGCACCTCCCGACTTTCTTGCTTTCTCCTTACCTTACCTCCCACAGACCCAAATAACCAATGAAAATAAACACCCATATGACCGATAGTAGAAGAAAACATATATCCAAAAAAGGTACATATCACGAATTTATAATAATGTAACGAAAAAAGAGAGGAGAAATGGCATTGCACAGCAACCCAACCCACCCTACATAAAAGCAAATCCAGAAAAAAGGTGTTGTACCTTCTCACAAAGTGAAACAGAGCGACACATAAATGATCACTTTCGCGCGACACAGAGCGACACAAGTAAACAACTCTGCAACAAATAGATTAGGTATGATATTTTCACTTTCGCGCGCTAACAGGAGGGTACGCTCGTCATCTGCATCTTGCCCATTGTGATGATTTACATAGGTAACTGGCAATACCACATCGCAAATGGGCAAATTTCGCCAGGTTTTTGGATCAGATACACATGCAACTTGTTAAGGTGGGGAACTGATTTGGGTGGGTATATCTTCAAAACGCTTCAACCAAACACGGGCACAAACTAATCCCACTTCTCAAATGTCTATGCATATCCTCAGAATCCGTCAACCAAACGCCCCCTTAATATCTTCTGCATCTTTCCTAATTGCCAAAGGGACTATTTTTTCCCGAGCATGCTTTTGAGTTCCAAGTTAAATGTGGTGATGCCCCTAAATTGGATATTAAGGAGTTACGAGGAAAAAATCAATGATAAAAATTTGAACACTCAAATTATAACAAGTTATTACTTACAAGTTAAAAGGATATAATTCAAGTAATTATTTTGAGTGAATATTATTCTTACACTTAAATTTTTTTTTTTTTATAAAAAACTATAAAACCGAAAAACTCATACCCATGACAAAAAATTGCCGGCGGTGACTTTTGTTCAGACTCAGAGTATTAAAAGTCGGTTTGGATCCGCTTTTGTTTTTTTTCAAAAGTTACTTTAAAAAAAAAAACATTTTTCACTATAAGTTCGTTTAGATGTCTGCTTAAAACAAAAAGCAAAAATCAGCTTCTTTTTTTTTTATAGTTTGAAATTTTGTTATAAAAAAAGTAAAAGTTAAAAACTAATTTTTTTTTTCAAAAACTAATTTTTTTTAAATATAAATAACTTTAACTTTTATAAAAAAAATGCTTCTAAAATGAGTAAGGGATAAAAATTGTTTTTTCTTAAAAGACCGAATAAACGGACTCTAAGTTAAAGGTTTTATTCATATGTAATAGGAAATAAGTTATCTCCTATCTAAATACACAATGATGGGCCCACCACTTAAAAATAAAAAGCAAAAAACAAATTGCAGCACCATTTTCAAAGTGTGTGTAAAAAAGAGAAAATTCTTCAATATTACTAGAGTACCAACTCGATACTCTTTTTTACTAAAATGAGAAAAAAACAAAATTTAACCTTATTTTTTGTATAATTTATTTTAAGAAAAAATGTTTATCCTTTTAAATGACACAACTTATATCTTTTCACTCTCACAAAGAGGTGGGATCCACACTTTTTTTTGTCAACTCTTTCTCTTACTTTATCTATCTTTTTCTCTCTCTTAAAATGACACAACTTACATCATTTAAAATGACACACACTTTATCCTTTATTTTAAGTTCCAAACATTTCTCCTTTTAATGTAAATATACTATATTTATTGTACCAAAGGTTTTCTAGTGAAAAGAAAAATAACTCCGAGGGTAGCTCAGTTGACAACTGAGTTCCCAAGGGTTTGCTTGAGTCAGAAGTTCAAACTCTGTCTCAAGCAAATTCTTGGAAAATCTTTGGGGATTAGAAGATGTGTCTTCCTTCTCGATTGAGGGATTAGTCTTATCCTTTCTCCGGTAGCGAAGGTCAATGCACCCGCCCTTTTAATGAGGGATAGTCTTCAGGGCCCTACTCCGAGGACAATGTGACCGGAAGAGGTTGAATGAGGATACCTCCAGGTTATACCAAATCAAAAATAAAAAAATGACATTGCGTTTGTCTTTTATGTTTTTTTTTTTTGGTAATTGCATTTATCCTTTATTACCCATGATGCATATATAAACCATGGAGTATTGAGTTCAACGAGTTTGGTAATACTCCTATTATAAGGAGCAAATATTCAGAGAACCTGGCTTAGATGAGCCAGGTAGAGAGATAAGAGAGGAGAGAGAAGAGGAGAGAGAGAAGATAAGAGAGAAAGAGAAAAAGAAAGAGAGAAAAAGGGACCATGTAATTAATTTTCTACTAGAAGAGTTGATTTTGTGTGCTCCCTGCCTAGAGAAATTTGAGTACATCGGTCGTATCCTAATGGGTACTCATTTTTTCCAATTTTGGAAAACTTTTTTCCATTCTACTCCTTTTCTTTATTTTTATTTCCATGTAAGTCCCCAGAAACTTTCTTCTTTTGGGTAGATGCACCATACATCGGATGTATTGAAGATTTTTCCCTCCCTGCCCAAGAAAAAATTGGTGGGACAGAGGTGAGAGAAAAGGTTGAGGAGAGAAGGAGAAAAAAAAATCATGTGTCAATTTTTCAGTGAAGGACCATAGTGGTCCTGAACCATATTAAAAAATTCTCCACTAGAAAGTATTGCATGGTCTCATCTCTTTTCTGACGAGATCAGTGAATTTGATTTGACGTGAAAAGTTATCTTATAAATATTTTCCTTTTTATTATAGAACTAAAAAATCCATTATAAACATAAAATAAACTTAAACTTTGATTAATATTTAACTGGAATTAATATTTTTTATATTGTAAGAGATAAAAATTATCTCATATATATACGTACAAATATATGGAATCCATATGCGATCGTGTGAAAAGAAAAAAAAACATTACCTCACATATATTTACATATATATAAATTTTTTATTTTATTTATTTCTATATAAGAAATACAAATCCCTATTTCACTTGCCCAAAAAGGATAAAACGAAAATGAAAAAAACAACCTCTCCAGTCTCCATCATACTGATGAGTGAGACTTTTTTTTCCGCGGATCATCTTTTTATTTGTGATGTAATGGGCACATTATTGCTCCAAATTCCCAAACATCATTCTAAGTTCTAAGTAGAATGCAATGCTCATGCATCTAATGCACTCTTTTTCTAAGTTTTTTCCTCCATTCCTAATAGTCATAGGAAGGTTTTATTATGAGTTTTTTTCAAGGTAAAAATATTTAAATATTATTATTTAAATAAGAAACTAGGAAAACATAACTTTTTGAAATTGATTTATGAATTTATAGTTATTAGCCGTGCTTCAAAGTAGGTGTGACTGGTCATACCTCATAGAGCCGCAACTTGTGTTGTCGCGCCCCACAGAGGTGCCCTCGATCATGAAACGTGGTATAAAAAGTCAATAGTTTGATCGTAAAAATTCGGAAGGCAATAACTTTTGACTAAAACATTTGAATCAAATTTTTATTTTATTTTATATAACTTTTCGAGATTTATGCAATAACACTTCATTAAATGAGATTTGGCCACAAATATTTTAAGGTGTTATTCTTGGAGTGTTCTCGTACTTTTGTCATTTTTCTTCATAAAATCAAGGGAAGAATTAATTAATATTAATGCTAATTGCTGACACAAAAAGTATGATTATTTTTTTTCTAATCGTACAATTATTTTTGGTCTCACAGCCTTCTGTACACTAACATTAATAAAACTATTCGACAGTCTGAACAAAGACGCATGTTGTAACAAATTAGGTGATTCTTTTAAGGGATATATTTTTCTTATATCGTAAGAAAAAAATTGTTTGTAAAAATAAAAATATAAGTGAAACCCAAAAGTAAGAGGAGAGAGAAAAAAGAGTGGTGAGACTCAACTCCTTTTTGTGTGTGTAAGAAAGTTGTTTATTTCATGTAAAATGAAATAAAAATAACTCTTCTTTTAAAACAAAAATTAAAGGTCTTTGAAAGTTGACTAGATAATGTAATCAATTACATGAGCTCAAGCTTATCATAATCGAGAGTCCAAATCAGATAAAACAAAATGCATTTGACGTAAATTTTTGAGATCTATTCACTGACAAATCTCAGAGGACTATTTATTAGTGTTAAAAAATAAAAATTTAAATAACATCATTTACAAAGATAAAATATACCAATCGGAGCACAAGGAAGCATCATTTGGTAATTTTTTTGACCAAATTCCCTTTGGTTATTAGCCAATGCATAACTCTCAAAAAATAATGTGGAATCAAAAAAGAGAGCACCTGATTTGAATACTTGAGTCAAAAGTTATTGTCTTCCAAAGTTTTATGGTAAAATATCTGAAATTTGAAGAAAAATTAGAATTTTTTTTGACCAAAATCTCTTCAATAAGATGTCATTGGGTGAATTTCAAAAAATTATCTGAAATAATAAAAATCGTCTACTTGATACACACGAGTCGAAAGTTATATAGCCTTTTGAAATTTTGTAATCAAATTACTGACGTTTTGTGCCACGTTTTACCATCTGAATGATGCAAAGTCGCATTTAGGTAGGACGCGACTTAGCACAAGTTGCGCCTTTATGAGGTGTGACCAATCAGGTCTACCTAGGGCATGATTGATTGGTGTAGATTCATATATTGATTTCAAAATGATATATTTTCGTAATTTTTTATTTAAATAATAATAATAATTTTTTTTGCCTCTTTCTCTAAACGTAGCAAATTTTGGAACTTGACCATAAAAAAAAAACATGAAAAAAGGTACCACCGGCACCCTGTCTAGTAAGTAGTATATTCTACTTAAATTCAGAATCCATCTTCAACTAGAACGAAGACCCAAAAATAAAATATAAAGAGAAAGTCCAATAAGGTGAAGAATCATGGCAAGGTCATTGGTGGGGTCCGCATCACTTGCCCCTCCAATCCTTTCTCGCCCATACAACAATGCACTAATTAAATCCCTCCACTTGTCCTCTTCTTCTTCTTCTTCTTCCACTTTCTCCGCCGTCCACGTCAGCTCCTCCGCCGCACCAATGGCCAGCCACCACCCTCATCCCTCCTTCGAAATTGTCGGTGGGGCACATGACCGTTTCCTCCCCGCTCTCACATACTTGGCTCGTCCCTACCACCCTTTCCCTCTCCTTGGTTGGAACCGCCACGTGGAAACCATATTCGCTTCTTTTTTCCGATCAGTCCCCGACGTCAGGCTCCGCCGTGAGTGCCTCAGGACCCAAGACGGCGGAGTCGTCGCCCTCGACTGGACTTCCGGCGACGATAGACTTTTACCGGCCGATTCTCCACTCCTCATTTTGCTGGTTCGTTATAACCACCCAACAAAAATTAAAAAAAAAAAACAATTTTTGTTAATTTGAAAGAAATGGGTATCTGAAAAATTGTAATGGGTTTTGTGCAGCCAGGTTTAACTGGAGGTAGTGGGGATGCTTATGTGAGACACATGTTAGTTAGAGCTCGAAGTAAAGGATTTCGTGTTGTGGTTTTCAATAGCCGTGGTTGTGGTGATAGCCCTGTTACTACCCCTCAGGTAAATGTTGCTTTTTTAAAAATACATATGAAGTTTTGAATCTGGGTTGACCTATTTTTTGTGATGCTGATAATTTATGTGTGAACACTGATATGCAGTTCTATTCAGCTTCGTTTTTAGGAGATATGCGTGAGGTTGTTTCCCATGTCAGCGCTAGATACCCCAATGCTAATTTATATGCTGTTGGTTGGTCACTTGGGGCAAACATTCTTGTTCGTTACTTGGGTCTGGTAAGATTATTATTGCTTATTGCTGCCTTAAATTGTCTACCCCTAGGACTAGGAAGAAAAGAAATAAAAGCTTTGTCTTTGTTTGGTAGAAGTAGTTGTTGTTTTGGAAAGTCAATAAGTAAGGGTCAAGAGTTTGTTGACTGGTTTGAAGGATAAAATGGGTTGGTTGATATGTTTTGTTTTGAGTAATGAAAATCACTACCTCACACTTGCTCGGTACAGCAAAAGTGCGGAAAGGCCTTTGAAATTGCACTTCACCCTCATTAATTTTGGCTACCCCTGTAGCTCGAAAGTGAGTTAGAAGTGATTTTTCACACGCTATCAAGCAAAGTTTAGTGAAAATTCAATTATTTATTTGATCTATCCCACTCCATTTTCACTCTCTTTATTTCTCCTTCCCATTTCACGCCTACTCTAACAAGCATAGCCCTAAATGTGCTAAAAAAATCTTGGATACAAGTCATGTACTTTCATTTTATTCATCTGTTTGATGTTTAATATCATCTGCTTGTGTTCTAACTTCTAGTAGTTGCAGTGAGCTAATTTTAGGTGGATCATCTTTACCTTTTTACATTAAATATCACTTCTGGCATGTTATTTATGTTTTTCATTTGCTACTTTCAGGAATCCCACCATTGTCCTCTTTCTGGGGCTGTATCATTGTGTAATCCTTTCAATTTGGTTGTGGCAGATGAGGACTTCCGAAAGGGTTTTAACATAATTTATGACAAGGCTCTTGCGAATAGCCTTTCCAAGATTTTCAACAAGTGATACTAATTTATATTTGTTATTAATGGTTATTCTAGTTACTTATTAATGGATCCATTTGCTGGAAACATGACAGTATCACTAACGACATTTATTTATCTTTTTGGGTGCAGGCATAATTTACTCTTTGAAGATATTGATGGTGAATATAACATTCCAATGGCAGCCAACCCCAAGTCTGTTAGGGACTTTGACAATGCACTAACCCGTGGTATGTGTCCCTACTTTACAGAAACTGGATAGATAGATCACAATTGTGAATTATTATCTTCTCAGATACTCGTCTATGAGGATTTGCAGTTTCTTTTGGATTCAAGTCTGTGGATGAATACTACTTTAATTCAAGCAGTTCAGATTCCATAAAACATGTTCAAACCCCTTTGCTTTGTATCCAGGTAAAAATATTTGACTCAAAAGAATTATCTATTTTGATATTTACTGGCGTAAATTGATAAGAAGAAAAATACTTTATGCATTGTTATCTTGAATAAATTTCCTGTCAATTGTAATTTCGTCACCTCCATTCATTGATTCAATTATACTTTCTCTCCTAAATTAATATGAGGCTATGTTCCCCTTATTTTCCAAATTAGGGGTTAGAACTGATTTTGAGAAGCACATACAGAGTTATATTTTGGCAGAAATATGACTGAAAATGATCACTTTACCCCATCCAATCAACATGAGAACTCACTATATGAGATGCAAGTTCGTGACTTTTACCATAATTAGTAGGTCCTTTCGAGTGACCTTCTTGTTGAAAATTTACTTATTGTGTATGTGCTTCTCCCGATCATGAGTTTTAATCCCTCATATGGAAGGCAGAAGGATATTATAAAAAATCTTGGGGAAAGTGCAATTGGACTTATAAATATGGGTAAGTGCAACTGACCCTTTTTAATTTTGAATGCTATATAAATTTGTATCTTTCATTTAATCAAAAACTGATAATGACAATAGCACAATACCTAATTTCCATCTGGCTGATATTTTACCTCCAAAAGGTTTGAAATTTTAACTTGTTTTGGCAATGATTTTATTCCTTTATAGTGTTCACATGCTTCTTTATGTTGCAAAATAATGATATTTAAATGGTTTAAACGAAGAAGAAAGTGTACAAGAATTATGAAGTAAATCTTCAATCTGGACTGACTTTTATAATCTGTCATATATGAAGCCATCATCTTAAAACCCAATTGGCGCTAGCCCTAATCTCTTAAGACTGGGACTGCTCTGGTTCTTGCACCTGCCATTGTACAAAATATATGAATATATAGATAGAACTCAAAAAAATCTCTTTCCCTTTTTCAGGCAGCCAATGATCCGATTGCTCCTTATAGGGGAATTCCTTTTGAACATATCACGGTATGCAATTTTTTTTCTTGTGATTATGAAAATTAGTGTTACCAATCTGGACTAAAGTGTGCTGGGTAATATGGAATTCAAATGCTGAAAAAATTATTTTCATTGCATTTTCTTTTACTATATTTTTAAGTCCATCATTTCTGTTATGTTAAGTTAACAAGCATTTTATTATACTTATTCAACCCTCACAATTTCGAATGTACCAAGCACACTCTTCAGCTTGAGCATTGTGATTTTCATATCAAAGTCAAACAATTGACAATTGATTAAGACTATTATTTTTGCATTGCCACACTTGGTTGTGAAGATAGTAGTTATAACTTATAAGTCAACAGTTTTCTCTTGTAGCCTTGTAACCCCAAGGCCCCAATTTTTTTTTTCTTTGGTATCTTCCTATATATGCCTGCTCATTAACTAAACTCCCATTCGATTGTATTCTCTCTCTTTTGTGTATCTATTATTTAAGTAAGGTTCGTGCTTACTTACATATTCATTCGTTTTATTTTGACTCCTTAGTTAAGTATATTCCTGCTTATTATGTCAGCAAAATCCAAACTGCTTGTTAATAGTGACACCCAAAGGTGGCCACTTGGGTTGGGTTGCTGGTGATGAAGCACCACTTGGAGCCCCTTGGACTGATCCTTTGGTAATAGATTTTATTCAATATTTAGAGAGGGAAGCAGTTAAGGCCCCCGAAACCTCTACTAATCCAGCAGGTAAAGAGTCCTTGTACCATCTTGAAGTGTAATTTGGCAATCTCCTACATATTCTTTAGCACATTCGTAGTCCCCAGAATGATAATGTATCAGCTAGTGCATTCTTGTTTGTACGTTTTACGTGGAGTCCAGCAGATAATGGATCGCACAACTCAGAGGTCGATATCAATAATGATCAAATATTTCATTCACATACTTGTCAATGGATCATGGATGCCCTGTAGATAGTATATAGAAATAACTATAAAACGAGCATGATTCTGTTAACTGTTTTAACATTCATTACTTATTTTTTCAACTTTCAAATTTTATTGCCGAATTTATTATTATTTTATTTAACTTCAATGCTACACTTTCTGAACAATTTTTTTTCGATTTTATTTTGTCGTTACTGGATCTCCAGTCATCCTGCAATCTGAAACTGAAAGTAATGTATAATATTAAAGCAGTACTCAGCAAACAATTACAGCAGTTAAACGTTCATTTGACAAGGCGCAGACTTAATAGTGGTAATACTGAAAGGTTAGAAAAAGGTCTATTCCAATAATATTAAAGATCCTCATGCCAAAGATCTAAGGAACTACATTTCAGTTTCGTTCTTTCAAAATAAGCTTCATCTAAGTATCTAAAGCTGAAAAAAAAAAAAAAAAAAAAATGTTTCTACCTAGCTGGTAGAATTCATGTTGAACTCATGTTAATTGATAGCATTATATTAAAAAAAATAAAAACATGGAAAGTTTGGAAATTTACACCTTAAACAGAGGCATGAATCTGTTTAGAGCGAAATGAAACCGATAATTGATAATAACTAAAGCCTAGGTGATACATGAACCTTTAAAGGATTCTTCATCACCGTTGTGAATTGCAACTTGTCTGACAGATCAACTTCTTCTCCATCCATGGCCTTCCACTCAAAATTCCAAACAAAATTGGCCACAAAGTACTCCAAGTGAAGCATTGCTAAACCATAGCCAGGACACATTCTTCTCCCAGCCCCAAATGGCATCATCTTTATCTCTTTACTTCCCATTATATCAAACGTTGTGTCTCCATTTTGCTCACTGTTGTTCATGAATCTCTCTGGCTTAAAGGCCAAGGGGTCATCCCAAGCTGTAGGGTCCCTACCAATCTCCGCAACTAAGAAATTCACAGAGGCAGAGGTAGGCACCGAATAACCATTCAAAACAACATCCTTTGTTACTCTATGAGGAGCCACATAGTGTAATGGTGGGTGACGCCTTAAGCCCTCCAAAATCACAGCCTTAAGATATGGCAATTTTTGCAAATCTTCATCCTTGATTTCGTTTTTCTCTCTATCAACCATGACCCCTCTAATTTCCTCCACAAGCCTTTCTTGGATATCAGGGTATTTAACCAAGTTTGCCATGATCCATTCCAATGCTGTTGAAGTTGTATCTGTTCCAGCGTTCAGAAACTCCGAGCATAAGGTGCAAATTTTACCATCATCCAATGATTCCAAATCCAACAAAGTATCCACATATGACATAACAAATTCATCTTGATCATTGTCCTCTTTGCTATTACTTAGTTTCTCTTCCTTGGCTTTCCTTCGAGCGTTGATATAAGGAATCAACACAGCTTCTTGGTCTCTTCGTAGCTGTAAGAATTCCTTCCATCGCTTCCAGAACAATATCCTAGTAATTGGTGGCCAAAAATTCAAGACATTGTATCTGGCAAAGCTGAGAAGCATAACACGTTGACTATCTTCTATTTCTCTTATTTGCTTCTCATTGAGTTTGTCACCAAAACACATAAGAACAAGCAAGCAGAACATGCCATATCGAAAATGGTCAACTACCCTTTTGGGGTTGCATGCATCTGAATCAGATTTAAGGCGTTCTAGAAGCATGTCTAACACCCACTTGCGTGCATGTGCATAGGACTTAACCTGTGAGGGATGAAGGATTCTTGAAGTGAGGTTGCGCCTTAGGAGGCGCCATATGGGGCCATAGAAGCTGAAAAGGATGTCATGTTGGTTGCTGCTAATGATCTTCTTTGTGGGAAGTGCCTTGGGGCGATCTGCGAAAATGGTGCTATTTTGGATTAATGCTTGATGTGCAAGGAAGCGATTGGCAATGAAAATATCTGTTTGAGAACCCATTTGAAGAGTGAAGATTGGACCATATTTGGCATGAAGATTTTGAAGAAGTGTTTTAGGATCGTTATTGTATTGTTTCAGCAATGTAAAGGTGCCTATGATGGGCACTTTTGGAGGCCCCGGAGGGAGAGGATAACTGGGAAAGACAAGGTTACGTATGGCTTTGAGAATTGGTAAAAGGCAAAGACAGAGAATAATGAAGATTAACCAGGCTTCCATTGTAACTATTCTGCATGAGAGTGAGTTCTTTGTCAGTGGTTGATAAGAAACAAAAGGGAATACTTGAAACTTAAAAAGGTGGGTTACTAAAATTCAAGTGGTTCTTTCATGCGTGCTTATAATCTAACAGCCATGAACTAATAACTTAAGTGTCAGTTTTAGCATAGAATTGAATGGTCATGTATGTTTAATTAACAATTCCTAAAAAAACTCATGCGTTGGGGTAATTTAGTTTTAATGAGATGAATTAGTGCTATAATTTTTTTTAAAAACTTCACTTACCTGTTTTGCTCAAAAATTAAATACGTTTAGCTAGTAACAATATTGCAATACATAGTGACTCATTAAGGTATGGGTTTACTGTTTGTCATTTTTTTTTTTTTGGTACATTGCCAGGAGGTATCTCCATTCAACCTTCTCTGGGCACCATGCCTTCGGGGTACGGCCCGTTTGGGCTAGCCCCTCATTGTAACAGTGGGTGCACTAAGCTTCGCAATCGGAGAAAGGACGAGACTAATCCCCCAACCGAAGATTTTTGGCTTATCCTTTGGCCCCCAAAGATTTTCCAAGAAACTGCTTGAGGCAAGGTTTGATCCCTGCACCAAGCAATTCCTTGGGAGCCTGCACTAAGCAATTCCTTGGGAGCTCAGCTGCCAACTGAGCTACTCTTGGGGGTTAGTGTTTGTCATTTTATATGACACAACTTTGTGTCATTTTTAATAAAACTACGTCGTGTTTTTTCATTTTTACTAATTTATAAAATTGGAAATAAAAAGAAAATGGAGGAGAGAGAATGTAAAAATTTACCAAAACGAAGTAGTTTCGTTAAAAATGACATAACTTTGTGTCATTTAAAATGACAAACATTTTTCCCATAAGGTATTAACAGTTATATTAACAAACTTTTTATTTACAAACTAGGCTATGTATTCCAGGGATTACAAACATTTTTAAGTGTATACTCCCTGAAGTACATAATATAATTTATAAACAAAAAATTTGTAAATATAAACTACCCATATAATTATTGGAAAATACTTTTCTTATGTTACATAAGAGAAGTATTATCTCTTACTCAAATAATAAATAGGAGAGAGAAAAGAGTTGGCGGTGAGAAAAAAAATTATTGTGAAACCCATTTAAAAAATATGAGTGTAGGAGATAATACTTTTCTTATGCAACATAACATAATAAAAAAAGGGCTTGTTGTTTGTCATTTTAAATGACATAAGTTATGTCATTTTAGGAGAGAGATAGACACAGAAAATGAAAATCATGGAAGAGAGAAAGTGGGTGGATTTTTTTTAAATTAAAATTTAAATAAAAAATTTATTCTGTGTCTATCTCTCTCTTAAAATGACATAACTTTATATCATTTAAAATGATAAATATTTTTCCTTAAAAATATTACCCATAATTATTATACGAGGAAGGTTATAGTTACTACATCTTTTTTCTTACTACCTCTTACTACTAAACTTAATTGTTGATTTCTGTCAATCTAACGGTTAAGATTGATTGGATAATATTTATTAATTAATTATTAATTTTCAATAAATCTTAACCGTTAGATTGACGAAAATCAACAGTTAAAATTTAGTAGTAAGAAAAAGAGATAGTAAGTATAACCTAATTATTATACTATAACTTACGATAGATCATACACAAGATACTTTTGTACGTTTTCTAGAAGTTTTGCGTTGAATCCAAAACACATCAGAATATAATAAATTAAAAGTACGAGGTGATTTGTGGACATTAATTAAGAATAAATTATTTATTAGTCAAGTTTAAGAAATTATTTGAACTATATATGCATCAAACAGGTTTTCACAAACTAAAGTCAAATTACAATCACATATAACTCTTTTTTGTGAAAATGGATTGGATGCAATTGAAGTATTGAACCTTCAATGAAATGGCTGCGTCGTTATAATCATATAGATATCTTTTCTGAATATACGAAACAGCATAAACATATTACTCTTCTATTTTGGATTAAGAGAGTTTTCATCTGCATGAGAATTGACCATATTAAAATGAATTACTATGACTCGAACTTTCTATCGTGCATATAATACAACGTGTAAAGTGTTAGTTTAAGCGTAAAATTAAATGGTGATTGATGTTTACTTAATAATTTTGTATGTGTTGGACTCATTCTACTTCAATTAGATGAATTAGTGCGAAGACTCTAGGTCAGTGGGTGCCACTTTCGTATAGTGCAATTTGAATTATGCATCAACTAGCTTCACTCTCATAAAATTGTGACAAAAAGAAACGCAAGAGTGCTTCTCAAACTTCTCCATGGGTTAGTTGGTCCACCTCGTCAATGAAGGTAAAGATGTAATTACGTATATGTTAAGAGATGAAATTCTATAACCTTCCACCTTATTTCTAAAATATGTAGATATTTATAAGGCCAATAAATTTAGAGAAGGATACTTAAAGGTTTGGATCCTCTCTTTTTAAATTAGAAACTATTTTTAAGCTTAAGTTAAAAAAAAAAAGAGCTTAAAAAAAAAGCAAAAAGTTGTTTTATGATTCCATAAAATTTTTAGCTTAAAAACACATATTTCAAGAAAAATCTTTTTTTTTCTCTATATCTATAGCTCTTCATTTCAAAAAAAAAAAACCCACATAATTTAAGAAAGACTGATAACAGCTTAAAAAAAACTCCTCCTAGGAGCTTATGATTTTTGACTTTTTTTTTCATTATGAAAAAAAGAACTTTTTATTATGGGAAAAATGTGTGTCATTTTAAAGGATGTAAAGTTATGTCATTTTAAGAGAGAGAAAGAGATAAATAAAAGAAGAGAGAGTTGACAAAAAAATTAAAGGTGTGGGTCCCACCTTTTTGTGAGAGTGAAATGATATAAGTTGTGTCATTTAAAAGGATAAACATTTTTTTCTTTCAATATAAGAGTTTTTCTCAAAACCTATTTGATTTAATTTTTCCTCATAAGAGGAGAAGCTAAAAATAAGATAATTCAAACAGTTATAAGGAGTTTTATAAAGGTTCTGGTGATTAATGACTAGATTTCTTTAAAACCTTCAAGGGTTCTAGATCGCTCCCAGGGTTCTAGAAATTTTCAGAGTCCTAAATTCTCCTTTATTGTTCTAAAATTTCTTCGACATTAAGTCTTTTAATAAAAAGCTAACCTCAATTATGAGCGTGCAAGATGTTATATAATAATATGCTTAAAAAATTGAGTGGATACATATAATTATATAAACCATGAGGATGGCATTTGAACATAAAAGATACAACAGTCTCACTGAAATTATTAATTCTTAGCATGTATCTCTGCCTACCCTACCTACCACCATGTGGCTCCGCAACTGCACTTTATTAGTTAGGTGTAAGGAATTATTTGGAATATGCATCCAACCATTAGAGTCAAATAAATGCAAGCCTAATACATGCAATATACCTGGAGCAATATTCATTTAGTTTTAGGTTTTTATGTTTGGAAAATATTAGTTTCATTTTACATGAGGTAGCTTATATCATTTTCTCTCACTTCGATTTTCGCACCTCTTTTTTTTTTTCTTTTTTTTTTTCTTGCAATGGTGAGACCCACCTAGTTTCTCTCTACAACATAAGATACCTATCTTATGTAAAAGGAGATTAATAAAACCCTTTTATGTTTATCGTGTAACATAACACAACTTCACTTTCCTACACACATTAAAAAGGTGGAGTCCACATATTTTTCTTTCTCTTTATCATTTCACTTTCTCTCTTCCTTTGTTGTGAGTGTTGGAAACAAAACTTAAATTATGTAACATAACATTAATAAAACCCTTAGTTTTAATTGATTTTAAAAACAAATTTGAAAATAACTTAAAGAGTTGAATAACTATTGGTTTGCAGTCGCAATAAAATATTTGAACTGATATAATAAAATGGTCAACTTATAACCATGGACGAATATATGAAACTGGGGCATACTTGTGGGAGTATTCTTCTCGGTTTATAATTCCCTACATCTCCTCAAAATAAAAAAATAAAAATATAGAGAAAATTACGTAAAAAAAAGAACTAGAGAGTACAGATAGTCCCGCAATTTTTTTCCATAACGAGAGTCCCCATTATATGCATGCGGAGCTTCTACTCGTAGTTGCATAAAACCTACGTCCTTAAGTAGAATCACATTTCTCAATTTACAGTACTTACAAGCTCACAAGGGAATGGATAATTACAACGATTTTTCATCCCAAATAAAAAAGAAGAATTAAAATCATGGTTAATCTTGCCAACCAATTTCGTCAAAGAAAATTTCCTCTTTAACAACCTATCTCAAATTAAACAAACTTCTGACTTGTGAACTACACTAAGAAGGTGATAAACGCTGGGGTTTGTAAACTTAAGTGAATGGCACAACCCTCAACATAAGATTTCATTTATATTGGAAATACATCTGCAGTAAACCTTAATCGAAATAGGACAATGATAATATTAAATAGTCAATATGTTCAATTATTTTAGGCTGGCAACAGATGGATGCTTCAAAGTGCTATTAGATGATCTATAATGGAAGTGAGGAATCAAATTCAAACAAACTTGTTTTCTAATGCCAAACAAAATTTCTAACCAATGAAAGATCCTTTGTTTATCTGAAACACTAACAACCAACAACTCAAATTCCAGAAAGGCTTGTAAACTAAAAAGCAAATAAACCCCCATAAAGATTTGGATCCTATCATTATATTCCTGACGTTACCTTGTCATTTTAGAAGATAAACACAACATCCATTTTAAAAACACCAAAAATTTCCTGCATCGGTCTGTCCCAGTATTACAAAATTTTGTCGAGCTAAAACGAAAGGACCAAAATCCGCCACCGAGATAGAAACAAGTACCAATCACAGAATAACAAAAATAAAATGAACAAGAAGGAAACTGCAAAACTTCACCTCATTTTCCACATTTGGCAATGGGTATCACATTAAAATTATAACTATGAATGGTTGACAGTTTAAGCAGAAACTGGTCAATGGAGAAGGGGCAACTCATCCCAGAATTAGATTAGATTAACTTAACAACAACAATTTCCGCTAGACTTGACAAACGAGAAAAAATAATTTTTAAAGAAAAGAAATGAGTAAAAAAGAAATGTTTTTCTCAACCGACCATCGCAGCATGCCTCCATTATACACATCTCAGAATCTAAAGTCAGGATCCACATCCATTGCCCAACCAAATTTTGCCAGCAGAGATTTGTTGAAAATCTGAAAAATTCATGCAACAAGTAGAACAGATAAGCAACAAAAATGAGAATAAGACATACAGCCAAACAAGCATCAAATCAGTTTGATCACACATGAGCAAGAATACATAAGCAGTATCCAGCCCATGGAGATACCGCTCAGCTCACCATTGGGCAAAGAAACATACATGAAGCCCATTAACTTCTAAAAAACTGATAACACAACAGAATATTAATAACTCAATCTGAACAAGCAAAGAAGTAGCACCTTTTCAATAGGGACCTCATGCCGCTTGCACCAGGCAACGGTAATCCTGGGGTCAAGATAGTTTATCTTGGACGTGCCCAATGCCACAGTTTTCAGATCTTCTTTGGTCCTCATATCACGTTGCATTTTCTCAATTTTTGCATTGGTTTGAGACATCTTTTTCTCTAGCCTGTGGATTACGTAAACCACAATCATACATCACATTCAAACATGCAATGGTTAAAGATTTTAAGAAAGCTAAATTACGCTTCAGGAGTTAAGTTTCTTTTTTGCTTTCCATCTGAACTCTTCAAAGGAGGCTTTCCTTTCCTTGCCCTGTCGAAATCCGTTTTCAGCTCCTTCAGAACAGCCTACAAGTAAAGATTAAGCTAGCTCCAATTATATGCTCATAGGCCACAAAAAACAAGTCTACACTAAATTCAAGCATATTGACCCAGAAATATCATCCAGTCCGAGGTTCACAATTTTCAGATATTTTCATTACCTGAAGTTCATCAATCTTTTCATTTAACTTTGACATTTGTGCACTGTGAGATTTGGAAACACTACGTTGATGATTACAAATGATTGCAACCTGTTATGGAAAAGACAAGTCATTACAACTTAAAGTTGAACAATTAAAATACAAGAATGCAATATCATAGGTATAATAAAGCAATATTTTTTTAGCTAATTTACCTGTTTATTTGCATGCTGATAAACAACAATCTTTTCCCCAACATCTCCATCTTTAGTGTCCTTATTCAACTGGAAGTAATTCCAAGAAAATTAAACCCAATAAAAGAAATCATCGTATATACTTGACCCAATAGATTATATATATATAGCAAAAGGGGGTCAATAATAATTTCAAGAGAAGTAACAGTCTTACATTGGTTTGTATTTTGTATTTCCATTGGGTTTTTTTTTTGGACATATGTGCAAAAGTTTTAATAGGACTGTACAAATACAGAGGTAAATCTATTGATGCAGAAACAAGTTATAGAAATTATTATTTTTTTTTAAAAAGTGGGTGCATGGCAGGATCCAATGTAATGAAAGATAACACTGCTCTCTTAAGAAATTATGTTTTTCTAACCCTTCTTGTAACAGAACAAGGTAATAATCTTTTTTCTTTTTTTTCTTTTTTTCCAAGGAATGTGAATTTCAGGATTTTCAGGTATTTACCATATCATCCAATGTGATAGACGCATTGAATGTACGGAACACTTTTGCTGTCAAACCAGGCATGAGTTCCTTCAGATGAGCATTTAATTTACTTGTGTCCAGCTTGTCAAATAGATCATCACCAGGGCCTTTATCTGTAAATTGGAAAAAAAAAAAAAAAAACTTCAGGGCTTTAGTCTCATACTAGAAACATATAAAAAATAAGAACCAGCTTCCCACCTTTTTGGAACTTCAAAATTGCATTATAAACAGGAAGCTCAACCTCAACTGTATTCTCATACTTGATTGAATCTTTACCAAGGAAGTTAAACTGCATTAAAACAGAAAGGAAACAAAATCACTAATAAGTTTAAATAGTATGGGAGCAGCTATCATTAAAAAAAATTAAGAGAGGGATTATTAAACTTAGAAAACCCCGAAAGGACCTAAAATTCATCAACTCCAACCAAAAAATACAGTGAAAATAATTAGAAACCGGAATACCTTCAACTTGTTGGGGGCTTCTCTTGTCACATTCTCTACTTTTAATGTGCAGCAACCAACAGTATCAGCTTCATCATCATCCTGCTCAAATGCAATTGAGAAATAACTAAATTTAATTAGTAAAATGAAAGTAAATGTCTGACAATGAAGGAAATTAAAAACAGTAGGAAAGTTGCATGCCTGGAATAAATTCTAAGAATAATATATTTTATGGACATATGATAAGTATTCTATATCAATCCAGTTCAATGGTCAAAAGCTACTTTAAAAGAAGATTTCCCCATAGAGTACTTGCAAGCAGTAAATAAGCAATATCTCCTTGGCATTAACTAAAAGAGATTCCATACATGCAAATAATTTCTTCAGGAAATTTTATTCAAAAAGTCAAGATGGTGTCATCTAACAAAAAGAGCTTCATAGAGAAAACTTAGCTCAGGCATATTTCCTTTGTCTTGGTAACATCTTGTATGCAAATATTAAAAAACACAATTGCAATAATAAAATATTAACGAGGAAGCCTTAAATGACTCATTTTCCTTTTAAAACTTTGGGCAATTTAAAGAAACTAGCAAGTGCTTAACAGTCAAATTGACTGAGATTTAAAAGGCTTTACTAACAAAGTATACATTCATGTGTGTGTGTGGGTGTGTATCTTGAACTCTTGTATGTATATCCAAGTTCTCATGAAAGGGGTAATTTGCAGTTACCACAAATGACAGTGAGCAAGTACATATACAGACATTATACCTTCTCATTGCCAGCCCTCAGAGCTAGTTTATCAATAAGATAAGTAGCAACAGATATTTGCTGCTTTGTAATATCTCTACTTGTAAAATCCTTTGTGTATGCAGCCCTAATGTTCCCTATATAATCCTGCACCCAGATATCAAGAATAACGGTTATTAGACAGGTTCTTTGGAATGTTATCCAAAAATGTCACGTGAAAATATAGAATTCGTAAAAGCAGACATAGCATGAAATCACCTTCAACATCCTTGCTTTTTCATACTTTTCCTTGTCGCTTTGCCCCTTTAAGGAGCTACTAGCAGCCAGAAACACATATTTGAATAACTTTGGATTGATCGGGTCATTCCAAAAGGCTAACCATGTAACTGTATTGTCATGTCTTATCTCCTTCCAGCTGCCAAGATTACAGAACTCATGATTAAAAAAAAAAAACATTGCTTTTCATCTTGGTAGTATATACAATATTCTTTTTCTCCAAAAAGATGTGGAAGAGTTATACCGTTCACCAGGAATAGGGCATTCAGGAATAGGGGCATCCTTTCCAATATTAATTGTGATATCACTTGGACGAATGCGCTTTTTCAATTTTCCCATCTAATAAAATAAATTGCAATCAATAAGTAAATGATATAAACTGTAGAAGCCAGTCCAAACTCTGAAGATGAAGCCACAATATATGAAACCATTATATCTGAAAATCTACTAGTATCTAGTTCCAGTAATAACTATCTCATAACAACCTTGGGATGCTCGCCACGGCCTCGGAACAATCCTGGTGGTTCAACTCTAAAATTTCCAACCTAAAATGAAGATTTAATAAAAAAAATTAGTCATAAGTAAAAATGTTACCTAATGAATAAATTTGAAATTTACAGCCTGTATTATGGAGATATATCTAAAAATTAAAAGTTCGGATAGAGAAAGGTCACACACAATTAAATAGGAAGAAAAAAAAGTGCAACTCATCAGCACATTACAAATCCCTTAAAAGTAACTTTTTCTGAACGTTTTAAAGAATACAAAAACAAAATTCTACAGAAAGAATGATATAATCAATCCTTACAATAGCAGTGATTTATCAAAATAATGTCTAATACTATGGCTGAAGTGAAAATTATATTTAAAAGAAAAATCGCAAGATAAACCCACTTTAGTCCATGTGCAGATTAGTCCTTATAATTTTAACAAAGCGCAACTGACCCCTTGAACTTCAAATTTTGGGCACAAACAAACGCCTTTTGTCAAGCAAACCATTAGAATAGATACAGAAATATCACGAGACATACTTACAACACCATTAAAATATGTTTTAACCTCCAATAATACAACTAAGTGAAAAAACCAAGCTATATTAGTTTTCACCTAAATCTGATATTTTCATTTAATTATGGTATCAAAACATATTTTGATGGTGCTGGAGTCAGTCCCATGATATTTCTATTAAATTTTAATGGTTTGCTTGAAGTAAGGGGTTTTGTGCACAAAATTTGAACCCTGAGGTCAAATATGTGCAAAGCCCAAAATTAAATGAGGAATAGACACTGGTTTGCGTTAAATGGCTAACAGGATGGTGATTGGTGCTCCTCTGGTCAGTGTTTATAAAAACTTCACATAGCAATTCAATATCGAATGAGGATAGAGACATAAGGTTAAGTGAATATCCACTTTTGATGACACTAACTCATAATGACTGCAAGACAAAGGCTAAGTCAAGAGAAGGTAACACAACAATTATCCCCTCATAATAAAATGGCAAGATTGCAGTCATAAAGTCTATACAAATTTTTTGAGAAATCTACATGAATTTGAGAGGAAAAGAGAGAAAACGAAGATTAAACCTTCTCTTTAACACCATCAACAATAGCCCACATGTATTTCTCCTCTTGTTTCCCTTTCTCTTCCTTTAGAGCCTTCTTTTCCTGCATAAAAAGAAGACAGAAATGGACAATTAATAAAGACATGAATTATAACCTCTCAGGTTAACTTGGTAAAAAGTTGGCATAAATCACATACATGCCGATAGATAAATAGAAATCATAATAGGTATATAATATTTCTGTATTATACTTATACTTAAAAACTGTTCTTTCCTTGACTGATAATGAGAGCTATATATTAGCCTGAGGAGAAGTAATTACAGAAAAAAGCTCTCTAAATAGTGGGAGGTGAAAAAATACAGAGATAACACTCTCAAGAACTGAAAGAAAAAGAAAAGCGGAGAAAGAAAGATACTGCAGCACTTCAAGGGTCCGGAACCCCCACCCAAAACTTCATACTCAACTTCTGTTTACCTCCCTCACACTCCACTGCCTTTTTTTAATCATTTTTTTAACAGAATTCAATTCCCCCCTCATTCTGCCGTGTATGAATTCTGTTACTTTTGTAGTGGTAATTCTTTGGTCCTCTCCACATGGAGGGTCACTTTATGATTTTGATTTCCCACCTGAATTGAGGGCTTAACACATACACATAATTTGTACAGATATATATCATATAACATCTATAATACCACCAAATCCCAAAAAATAAAAGATACAAAAACAAAAGCCTCATGTGTTGGTTGGGGGGGGGGGGGGTGCAAAATGACCTAGTGTTGTCTCTACTGCCTTCTGAAAGTTGTTAGCAAACCAACAAACTCATAATATATATTTTGTAAGATCAATGAAATCTGCAGTATGGTCAACGACATGCAGTTCTCTATTATTAGGACAATACAAAACTGCACCAGCTAAAGTCAATATCATATCTCATATCAACAAATGCCTGCTTGTATGTATTGGAAGCAAACCCAAAATCCAATTAAAAAGCAAACAATGCTCTAATATATCAACTTCTATCATTGTCAAATGAAATTATGCATACCGAGTTACCAACTTACTTCCGTAGTCATTTGCTTCTTCTTTTCTTTTTCACTTTGGTACCAGTCATAGATTGGGGTAAAATCACAATCTTTCAAGTTCTGAATTACATGATTTCTTCCTAGCATCTTTCGCCAGTCATTCCAGAAATTTTCCTTGAACGTATCTTTCTGCATGTAATCTGTATCTCGCATGACTGCATACATTGTGGCAACCTGCAAAATATATTTGAAGTTCATAATACTGTAAGAAAATCAAAGGAAAGAAACTTCCTAATTTGAGAACCCCGTTGCACAAACGTTTATGTGACCCCAATTCATCAAAAAAAAAAAAAAACAGATGAACAAAAAGAGTCACCCAAAATCTTAAGAGTTTTCAGAGATAAAATCCCACCTCCTCTTGCTCAGGAGTCAAATCAACTGGTTTCCCTTTATAAAGCATCTTTACCCGATGGGGCTGGTATGAAGGAGGGAAAATGACACCATTGTGAACCAAAGTAGTCCATTTTTTCTGCCCATCGCCGGAGCTAGGAAGAAGTTTCGTAGATTTAGAATACTCTGAACCACTGCCTGATTTTTTAAACTTGTTATTGGCCTGTTTTTTAAAAGATGTTGCACCAGACTTATTAACTTTAGTAGCCTTTGCCAACATTTTTTGCTTGGAAGATAATTTATCAGCTGATGTGGCTGACTTCTTAATTCTCTGGGAAATAGGAATATCATCATCATCATCATCCTCTGCCTTCAGCTCAGCTTTGATTGATGAACCTGGACCCGAGACCTTTGCCTTCTTAACCGAAGAGGGCAAGGAGTTACTATTATCCAGTGGTCTCTTAACTGGCAATGTAGATTGCCTTTCCTGTTTAATACTTGCGCCAGAACCATTTTGTCTCTCTTTCTGAACTTTTGAAATAGGCTTCTTCTGATCAGAGTCATCACATTTACTGCTAGATGTTCCCAAATTAGAACTGCGGAATAACTTTGCAGACAAAGGGATATTATCATCATCATCATCAGAGTCTTCAGAAGATTTCTTGACAACAACAGGGGTCCCTTTGTTATCACGGTTAGAGCAGTTCATTTTCAACCTAGCACTCAATGGTTTATTATCCTCATCATCCTCCGAATCTTCAGCATAATCATCTTTATTACAAGGTTTGATACATTTTGTTTCTTCCTTAACATCAATTGGCATTTTATGTTCAAAAAGAGGCTTTTTATCTCCTAATGAAGATGATTTTGATCTTGCTTGTGGCAACTTAACAGCGGAGTTGCTGTGAAGTGAATTCGATGGTTTTGAGATACCTACAGACGACGGCCTCATGGTTGAGGTCTTAGCAGACGGGACAATATTACCTTTCTGTAAGCTAGAAGCTTGGCCATTCGAAGAAGGCACATCAGAAATCTGTCTATATGACTGTCCACCATGACTATGAGAAGTTGACTTCCTTACTTCTGAATGCAATTGGTTTTTCCTAGATGATGAGTACCTTTTAAAAATAATTGGACCTTCATCAACATCCAAATCATCTGGTAAATTCGGTTTACCGGTAGCCTCGACAGCCATTATTTGTTATTCAACTATCGAAGTTGTTGGCATGAACATCACACACACAATTCTGGATTAAAAAAAAAAAAAAAAGATTCCGTTAAGAAAAAATAGATCAATCATCAAGTATTCAAATTCCAAATCAAACTTCAAGTGACAACAGCAAGTATGAATTAATCACTAACATACTACTTTCCTCTGCAATTTCAATTTTTAATTAAATAAATTAAAACAATGAATTCATATCACCATTCTCTACAATAACTGAGTTTAAAGAAGTTCCAATTCACGCAAGGAAATATAAGTTCGTATTTCATTCCAAACAGAGAAACTAAGACGTTAAAAGAAAAAAAAAATAACAGGCACGCGTATAAAACACCTTAATCTAAAAACAATTAGACTCAAATGTCAAAGAAATTTCGCTCCCCTCCCCAAAAAAAAAAAAAAATAGAAAAGAAAAAAAAATCCTTTGTGGTTAAAGCTTATGGTTAAAAAGAGAAGAGGTTAAAGAAAAAGAACAAGAACATGCAAAAGGGGAAAGGGAAAGGGAAAATGCAGATAAAAAGAAGATCGAGAACATTCTGTATCGAAATAAGAGAAACGCGGGTAACAGAAATTCAATAGGAGCAACTGATAAGTGATTTAAAAGAAAAAAAAATAGAAAAAAAAAACAAAATTGATTACCGAAAACGATGCGAATGGCTAGAAGAGAAGGATGTAGCAGCTGAGCCTGAGAGTGAAAGAAAGAAGAGAAGAGAACAGAAGAGAATAAGAGATAGGGATGAAGAAGGAGAAGAAGGAGGAGAAGAAGTGCGAAGGTAGCTGACAGATACAACCAAAAAGAGAAGAACAAACCGAGTTAGGGTGAGTTTTAACTCAGCAATTTGGGAACGAGACACCAAACAGAATGTCAGGTCAGGTTGGGGTATCCGCTTACTTTGCTCAGCTAACGTTTTTCCTCCATACCTCTTTTTAACTCTCCCATTCTATTCCCCTTATCATATCTATCTATACCTTAGGCGTTGAAATTTAATGGGCCCATGTTACTTCTTTTCAGGCCCATATTTCAACCCAAATTTCTCCTTCGTAGTGCAAACAATAACTCTTTTCGGGCCTTTAGTTCAGTTTTCTAACCAAAGATTTTGTCTTTCTTCTTTTTTTTTATACAAGAATGAAGAATTTCTATGAGTTATTTTCGATGAGTCCAAAAACGAAATTATTTTAGAAAGGAAATCAAAGTAGTTTTATAATTCTAATATATTGCAGAGTTATATTAGTCTATGTCATTATAATTTTTTAATCTTATAACTAAAAACGATATCCTAATTTATGATTGGGTGTGATAGAATAATTTTTTTTTCCTTTACTATTTCACCTTTTTTTTTTCTTTGGGTTTATCTAAATGGCATAAACCTAATTTCTCAAAAATTATACAGCCTTCTCCATTGTTATTGATCAATTCGAAATTTGATTTCAGATTGTTGAGGATGACTCGTGTAACTTTTTAAGGTTGCATTCTTTTCTCTCTCTTTTTTCTTTATTTTTTGAACAAGTGAAAAAACAAACTCTTAATTGACCTCAATAAAATCACTAATCACAAATCAATTTACTAAATTAATATAACACTGATCATATAACAATATTAATTAACTAATAAGATAAAAGTAACAACACTGACCTTGAGAAGAGTGAGAGAGGATTGAGAGTGAAGAGGTACTGAGAGTGAAGAGATAATTGGGAGAGAGGATTGAGAGTGAAGAGGTACTGAGAGTGAAGAGATAATTGGGAGTGAAGGGTGAGGGAATATTTATAGGGAGAATAGGGACGAAACGGAGGGAGATGTGTTAGTGAATAAGTAAATGAATCTTTGATAAGATTATATTGATATTTTCCTAAAATCCATATCAGAAAATCAATATATTATTAGTGAATTTCAACATATTTATCTGAGATTTAGTGTAATAATCACGCACGGTATCTCATCCCAAATCAGGAAATCAATCTCGTTTTATTTTTAAAAAGATTCATCATTAATTATAGTTAATTTTTACGTGTCTGTGATTAATTCACCATGTAATTCTCACCATCAAGTGATTCGAATATTATTATTAATTCGTCATTAATGTATCAATTTTTTTGATTCCCATGCCCCGAGTGCTATATTGGTTGTTAGATTTACTTTCTTGAATTTTTAAAATTAAGATTAGAGCCTTGATAATGAATTAGCAATCAATTAATAGCAACAATACAAGGTTAATTAGATACATAGGCAAAAAAAATTAATTTAATGCTTTTTAATAAATTAATTACGTATTTATTACAATTTTAAAAATAATTACACATTTATTGCACAATAAGATAATATTTGACTTGGATATCTAAATCAGGCAATTCTTTTTTTTGATTTCATATAACCTTTCGAGATCTACGCAATGAAATCTCGTTTAACATATTTTATTTCTCACAAACACAATTTTAATTTGCAAGAATGATATTATAAGAGCGGTTAAACCCAGAAGCCTTTGAGTTCTGGGTTTGTGATTTAATATAAAAAAATAAATAAAATTTTGATTTGTGATTTAAATTTTTTTTATAATAATTTTTTTTCTTATAACAAAAATTTAGTTTGTGATTTAAATTAAAAATAAAAAATAAAAATTATTATTAATAAGGAAAAAAAAATAAAGATTTGATTTGTAATTTAAACTAAAAAATCAATTTGAAAAATCTGTAGAAATAAAGGAAATAATTAAATAAATATTCTAAATCTCTAAGGAAGAAGGATATTATTTTTGAAATTAATGATTAATGCTATAAGCTACTGGGTTATTATTCGTGGTCTGAAATTAATGATGGCTTATGAATGTTTTTCAAAAATAAAATTACTTAAATTATGCGTGATTGCCTCTTGATTGAAACTCAATTTAGACATGATTGGTGACGTGTCAGGTGTTGACACGTGTCACATTTTTTAACTCTGAAGCCTTTGAGTTCTGCGTTTGTGGTTTAATATAAAAAATAAATCAAGATTTGATGTGTGATTTAAATTAAAAAAATAATTTTTTTTATTTTTATTATAAAAAAAATTTAGTTTGTGATTTAAATTAAAAATAACAATTATTATTAATAAGGAAAACAAAATAAAGATTTGATTTGTGATTTAAACTCAAAAATCAATTTGAAAAATCTGTATTAATAAAGGAAATAATTAAATAAATATTCTAAATCTCTAAGGAAGAAGAATTACTTGATTTAAATTTAAATTATGTTTGTGAGAAATAAAATATATCAAATGAGATGTCATTGCGTAGATCTCGAAAAGTTATGTGGAATTAACAAATAGAATTACTTGATTTGGATACCCAAGTCAAAAGGTATGGTATTCAGTGGTTTTATGATTAAATTATTTTTTTTTTTGAAAAACAATATAACACATGTCAACACCTGATTTGTGACGTCTAAATTAGGCGTGATTGCCTCTTGAGTGACGCCCAATTTAGGCGTCATTGGTGACGATCAAATTGGACGTCTTATTGTGCAATAAATATGTAATTATTTCTAAAACTGTAATAAATGTATAATTAATTTATTAAAAAGCATTAACTTAATTTTTTTTGCCTACGTACACATGATAACTAATTACAATTATTGAAAAAGAAAATAAGGGGATGAGAGTGGTTTGCTGACAGGTGACAACAGCGCTGGGTGAATTTGCGCAGTTGCTTGTGTTGCCTGCAATTTTCTGTTATGACTTGCATAATTACCAATGTATGAGTGAGCAAAACATGAAAACACTTTAATGGAGCAACAATTAAAATGCATACATACATTCTAAGTTCTAAATATATTGAAATGCGGAATATAATACATCATAAATATCTTTTGTCATTGTTTTTCTTGTTGTTTTGAATGGTTGCTGTAATTCTGATGTGTAAAATTTTTATGAGCTTTCCAAATTCTTTTCTACAATTCAGATGTTGTGTAGCTTTGTAATAGAGTGAGTTCAGGGACTCATGAAGCTGAAAATGCACCCTTTTATAGACTCCTCCATCATAGAGTCTGTTCAAGTGTGCATTGAAGGAGCAAACTTTTGGTGCCACCGTCGCACATACCACTTCCTTTCAAAATTTGCCACTTGTATTTTTATTTTTATTTTTCTTTTTTTTATCCCACTTTCATCTTCTCTCTCTTTTTGTGATTGGTCTTCCCTACTGAATAAATGGTACCACCGTGATATCTTAAAAATTTCCGCATTGAAGATGGTTTCAATTGATGGCAGACCAAAAACAAAACTTAGTTGATGATTGCAGACCAAAACCAAAAATAGATGAGATAAGTTCTCCATTATGCAATCTATTATCATTAGCGGACAATGCAAGTCAACCACATAGGATCACACCACCACTAACACATTTTTAGTAATATATATCCCATGAAACAACATTTAGCAACATACAATTCTTTTTCCTTTTATTCTTCAAAACTTTCTGGATGGGCTGATCTTCAAATTGTAAAGAGTAACATTTATAGATGCCAACAAATGACATATTGTTTGCTCCTAGTTCTTGACTAAAATTGTCTTAGAAATTAAAATATAATCTTGTTTTTCTTCTCTATCTTGGTATATTTTTATTGGGAATTTCACATGATCTAATCATGTAAAATTTTTATATCTATATCTCTCTTTATTAATGAAATTTTTAATTCACTCTCATTTTCATTTGGACATTCTCAGGTGCAAACAAAAATATTTATTAAAAAATTTATTTGAAGCAATAAATGATACAAAATGTTTCTTTTTAACCTACATAAGGATGACACAGTAAAGCATTAGAATCACACACATGTGAAGTCATCAGATATGGGTTAATAATGAGAGATTTTAATAATTTACATACCCTTATAAATTCAAATCTCATTGCTATTATTGTATAAAACAAAATCACATACCTGATAAAACCATGAATTAAAAAGAAACAGATATATTTAATTAAATAGCTCGTAATATCGCACACAAGCTAAAACCATGAAGAAACGAAAAGAAAGTGGTCCCTAAACCAGGACAATCTTTCTATTTGGAACAGAAAGGCAAAACTAAGAGAAAACCAAAAGAAACAAAGGGTCATTGCAATCAATTCACCCATTTTTATCATATTTAATTTGATCATGTATATTTACTATTTACAGCATAAACGGGAAACAGTATCCATTCAACAATTTATATATAACTTGAAACTCTATTTGTAATTGAATTTAGGTAACTCAATTTATCATATTTAGTTTCTTCTAATTATTAATATTTTGGGAAGCACTTAAAGTAGGGAAAAATTTAGGATCAGACTCTTTTTTAGGAACAGGATATTCTTACACCAATATAAGAGTTAGAAGTCTTATACTCAATCTTGATCATTGATCCACTTGTATCCAATGACTCATATACTAAAAAATTAAAGCTCTTAAATATAAGTGGAATCAATGATCAAAATTAAAAGTGTAACTTACACTGGTGTAAAATGATCCTCACTCCTTTTTTAAATAACCTTATATAAATAGTGGCAAGTTAAGCAAAATAGTCGGGTTCGAAATAACTTGTCAATTTCGCAACTTGTTTCTTTGGATTCGCAAGTTATTTCAGTTCATGCTTCCATGGATTTTGATTAAAATTAGAAATCATATTTACAGCAAGTCCAAAATGATTCAAATATTAACTCTTGAAGTACTCTAGTGAGACAATGTAATCATAATTCACCCCATTTCTCTTGTATAAATGATAACATGACTGCACACGACTCCATCTTATCTTTTAGAACGTTAAAAGAATATATTTATTTGCGTTTACTAGTTTGTCTAAGTTGATTATTCATCCAGTCAAGTTAATAAAATAAATTGTACTTTTTTTTTTTGGGTAAAGAAAAGGAGGACTAAACCCCCCAACAACAACAAAAACAGAAACAAAAACGGAATAAAGCTACGAATTACAAAATAGGACACGAGATCTTCCAACACCCGCCATATCAGCATTAAGAAGCGCGATTAGACCAGGAGGAGGCTCCCCCTACACCAAACGATCTTCCTGATTACCATGGTCAATAATGAAATTTGCTAACCAATCTGCACAAGTATTTGCTTCCCTTAAAGTGTGTTGAACAATAACAGACCAGCTTCTTCCCAACCAAGTTCGTATACGAGAAATCAACTGATTTTCACGGACTGCTACACCACTTCTGGTGAGTACAGTGACCACACTAGATGAATCACTCTCAATCACAACCTTACGGAACCCAGCATTCCACGCCATCTCTAGACCCCGCAAAATAAAATAAAATAAAATAATAATTTTTTTTTTGTAAGCATGAAATGACAATAATTTGTTACAACAAAAATTGACTTATATGAAAAGGACTAACTAGATAAGAAAAAATATATTCTAAAAATGGAAACTATAATTATTTGAAAGAGTGACTAAACAAATAACTGGGATAAATTTCACTTTTAATATTACAATTATATGCTCCATGTCCAATGTAGTCCTATATCACAGCTTCTATGTGAGATCACTTAAAAGGCTTACTAGTTACAACATACTCATTCTCAATACCATGATGTAAGAAGAGTGGTATTAATTATGATAGATGCTTAAAAACTCACAAGCTTGTGTACTGTAGTTGCAGTGTCAATCAAGCATAACCATTTCAGCAAAGAGCACCCAATTGAACTTCAGTGCAGCATAGCTTTACCTTCACGATCCAAAAACCAAGTCACGTAAAGAAGCCAAAGGTGAACTGTGACCATGTACTACACTGTCTCTCCAGAAAGCCAATCCTGTCACAAGGAAAATAAATCAGTTGTTTATTGCATTGGGGCAAAAGAAAGTTCTGCAATTTTGAATGTAGAACCTACAATTACACAAAATACTTATACCACCTTTATTGTTAATTGTGAAGATTGAAAATATATACATAATAACTAAATTAAAAGACTCTTAGGCCTTTTATTTTAATCACACAACCACCAATTATTTTTAAAAAATAAAATTACTTTATAATATCTATAGAATCACATCTTTGTGAAATGTGTGGGGCAATGTCTCTAACAGGAATGCCTATTTTATTGATTTAACAATTGCACAAGACATGGCACAAAAACGATAAACGCATCATCAACAGTGCAGCGAAACAAAATCATCATCACACAACAATTGGAGAAACCGGGATACAGTACATCAACCTTATGAGGACATGAGTGAAATATTACATAACACAATCTGGGCATGGCAACAAATTTATATGTGACTGTGTTTAAGAGTGTTTGTGTGTTATGACTAGGGTCAAGAGAGTAACCTATCCATGAAATCAAACCGACAGTTGCTGCCAAGAAGAATTCCTTGCTGATAACGTTTAAACTGGATGAAAGCACAATATTAGTTTACTAAATTTTGCTCAAAAGACTAAAAGAGCACCAGCATAAAAATACAGATGAAAAATAGACTTATATTAACTTACAAGTATAGGCATGCAATATTCCCATATCCATAAAAAAAGGTAGCCCACGCTGAACCAGTGAACCTACAATCACAGTTAGTTGAATCCATAAAGAGTTAATTTTGTATGCAGAAGAAACGGAAGAAGATTACAACAAACAGGACATTTAAAAATCGAAAAGTATAAGTAATGGTAAAGGTGAGCACATCGGTGACATGTAGGGGTGTAAATGGGCTAGGCCGGCCTACAGGGGCCTACGGTCTCGCCTATATTAGGCCAGACTTGGCCTATTATAAATAGTAAAATAGAACAAGCCAAGGCTTTTAAGAAAACCTATTTAGAAAACAGGCCATAGACTTTTTTGTACATGTCAGGCCTATAAGCCTATATCATATTATTTATTTCTTTTTTTGGAGTTACCCAACCCTAATTATCTCTTTGAGACGAGTTGGCTCCCTCCGGTATCCCCACGAGCTTCGACTCTTTGAGCCGGCTATGGGACTAATCCGGAGTGCGGGGGAACAGTATCATATTATTTATTTAAAATATAATAAATAAAATTATTATTTTGATATTTTTGAATAATAAAATAATATTATTTTAGTTATTCTTTTAATTGTTGAATGTTTAATAGGCTTAAACAGGTTAACAAGTCTAGGCCGAGACTTTTATTTTTTAAATATAGGTCAGGCCAGACTTATAATTTGGGGTCTACACAGGCTAATAGGCCAGACCATATCCAATATTTTTTACACAGACCTGGTCTATTTAAGTCAAAGCCTAGCCTAGCTTAACCTATTTACACCCTTAGTGACATGGAATCAATAAATTCCGACTAAAGTGATTATCATTAGAGGCAAAGCAAATAAAAATAATATTCATTATAAAGAAACATGCTAAGATCCATTTTAATTGAACCACCACACATCAACAAGGTAATTTGAGTTTGAGTAACATCTCATTTTTACAACTCCCCCTACACCTTACTGTTATCAACTATTATTAAAACTGTTATCAGCTATTCTCCAAAATTTATCATTTAAATGATAACAGTTAGTTTTTAATCGATGTTACTGGGTCTGGATGATAACTTTTGCAGAGTAGTTTATAATAGTTTAACAATATTTGACAACACTTCAAGGTGTAGCGGGAGGTGTATAAAATGAGGTGTACAAATAACATCACTCGGGCAATTTTCATACTAGTAAAAAAACGGCAACCTGTATATATATCACCTTACAGTATGAATAATGTGATGGATGTGCTACAGTCAAGGGCTAGACTGTAAAACTGCTTTCAAATATTATGTCTTAAAGAAAATTTGGTATTGCCATAATTTGTGATTAGTAGAACATAAGAGTCAATAGAAGAAAGATAATTATTACCACATGAAATCACGAATCAAGAGAGCACGTGGGAGCATAAGTCCATTTCCAAGCATAGCAAGCAACATTGAAAAAGCTGACAGCCCTTTCATGTTCTCAGGATTGAGAAAATTTGTCCACTAGAGAAGAAGAAAAAGGTCGTAATAAAAAATGCATAGGGTATAAAAGATGAATTGCACAGCTCTTAAACAAACACAAATTTCTCATATATGAAGTTTACCATTTGAGAAACTGGCATCCACATGAAGAGTAACGTAGCTGTCCATCCAGATATTCCTCCAACAAATTTGACACCTTTCTCAGAGAGTTTTCCACTTCTTGACTGCAAATCTAAGAGTAATGAGTTTAAAATGACAATGAAACTGAAAGCCTATTTCCCTGGTTCAGTACCATCAGATCCAATCTAGAAACAAGACCTCAAATCCAAAGGTCTTGGTTTCAATTAACAAATACCATGACATTTAAATGGAACAATTAGAAAATATCATTTTGTCATTACCCTCTCTTGTATGAGTTGGTGAAATAAGTGGTTAAATGAAAATTCAGGAAATATATTGAGTTCTGTGTTGCACTGTGAAAGATCAACCGACTCAACCAACTCTTAACAAGTTCCGCATTCTCAGCTGAGCTGTTGCAACTGATGCACGTGTTTAGTTCTCATTCAGTTATTCATTGGTTATTATACAGAGTTGTATATATATCTGTCAGCAATTGTAATCTGAAAATATAATTCATTTCTCACTTTTCTGCAATACAATACTTTCGTCTTTCTCTTACTCTCTCTCTCTTTTCATTCTTGGATCTGATACCTTGATCTAGCACCGAAACCGAATACCGCTGCTTGGCTGCAACTGTTGCGGAGCTCACTTGGATCAAGTCTTTGTTATCTGAACTTCAAGTAAGATTGCCTCAAACTCCCAATATCTATTGTGACAATCTAAGTGTTGTTCTCCTCACTGCCAACCCTCTCTTTCATTCACGGACAAAGAATTTTGAGTTGGACTTGTACTTTGTTCATGAAAAGGTGTTAGATAAGTCAGTTTCAGTGTATCATGTTCCCTCAACTGACCAGGTAGCAGATGGTCTTACAAAAGCCGTAACACGTTCCAAGTTTTTGGATTTTAGAGACAAGCTCAGTCTCTCCACTCCTCCGACACTGAGTTTGTGGGGGAATGAAAGATCAACTGACTCAACCAACTTTTAACAGGTTCCGCATTCTCAGCTCAGCCGTTGCACGTGTTTAGTTCTCATTCAGTTATTCATTGGTTATTATACAGAGTTGTATATATATCTGTTAGCAATTGTAATCTGAACATATAATTCATTTCTCACTTTTCTGCAATACAATACTTTCGTCTTTCTCTTACTCTTTCTCTCTTTTCATTCTTGGTTCTGATACCTTACACACTGATAAGAGTATGACAATATGTGTACCAGCAATGGTACGATATGGCTAATGAGATACACTCATTTTTGGGGGGGAAATAAAGTTCACCTTGAGGTACAAGATATTTTTTTACTTATTTGCAATAATTTCAAGCTGGCTAGACAATATATTACTTACAAGTTTAGTAGGGTACGGTACCCATATGTACTGGGTATGAGTGCAAGACCATTTTAGGCATACCGCATACCCATGCAACGTGGATTAAGTTGTGAGACATAATCAAATATAACCCAAAGGAAATAAGAAGATTACCATGGTAACAGCCACGACAGCTATCAAAAAGGCAGTTGCCCCAGGTAAGATGCTGTTAGGTATATAGGGGACAAATGTAGACCACATTATCTGCATCCAGATTGTAAATTAGGCAATGTCATATAAGTAGTAAAAGTTATAAAAAAATAGTATATCCATCTGTGTGTGCCCATGCACTTAAAAGGACATAATACATAAAAACCTGAGCAAATGTTAATTAATCGGTATGCTTGGGTCAGTACTTAATAATACGAATATAAATTGATAAAATGTACTAATTTTATTAATCCTAGGGTGAGAGAAGGAAAGCACTATTACTTGGGGAAGCACTGATAAACCCCCAACTGTAATGAAATCTTCCCAAAAGCGCCAGATTCCAGCATTTAGTAAACCAAAGTAATTCAGGAAATTCAGAACAAGACCAGACACCACCACAACTGAAGTCGCCAAAAAGTAAGACAAAGGCATGGCTTCTGCCAATGCCAGCTGAACAATGACCACATATGTCGAAACTACACCCAATGTCTGCACTACCATTGCTTCCTTTTCTTTCTTCTTGGCAAAGTATGAAAGTAGTGACAGGTTTCCAAGCAAACTAGTGAGCATTCCCTGCATTGACATCCATGTCATTACCCACCTTAGGTTATATGAGTAATGCCCCATCGAGTTGATTTAATAAAAGTAAAGTACAGGAACAAAGAAGAAAGAACAACTGAATTTATAAATTTTCAAACATTACTATTCTATAGCATAATTTTGAAAGATGTTAGAACCTCATTAATTCAGCCAAATTAAGTGAGTTTGGACATGCTTTTGAATTGAAAAAACCAACTCATTCAAATGAACTGAAAAAAATACTAAATGAAATAACTACATTCATTTCAAAAGTGTTCATAAATTTACTCAGATGTAATGAAAATTAGCAGAAAAAAAAAATTATAAAATATTTAAGATCAAGGGGAGGATAGACATAAAAGGTGTTTTTCAAATTTTAAAACTTTCATCAATGCCTTACCAGCCATGGGACAGCCAAGAGAGCAGTTTTATTTCCTGACCCAAGATTTCGAGCATTTAGTATAATTTGAGGCATTTGCAGTAACAGAAATGGAATATTGGCTGCTCCAGAGAACTTTGCTGTAAGCGATTCCCATTGTTCGTAGCTTTCGTTTCTCCCAACGTTAACTGATCCCTTCAAACAATGCCCAAAGTTAATCCCAAAGGGACACATACAACACCAATCCAACAAACCTTGTCAAATTTTTGTTATCTTACAAAAACCAATAGGACTTGATAAATCATGAAGTCAATGTTTAAATAGCAAAACACCAAGGATTTTATGAAATATTGAATAATTTTTACCTTAGCTTATTGAGTTTTGGTTTTTCAGTATGAAAAAGAAAATGTAAATGCAATCTTCCCAGTTCCCCTTTATTTAAGAAAGTACCAAAAGGACTTAGCTTAACCAATCATAGAAGGTAACAAAGGGACAAAGATTTATCAATCAATGTCTTCACCAATCACTTATTAGCAACATTACATAAAAACCCAAAACTCCAATATAGGAAATGATGATGAGTTGCCAGTGAATTCAAGCAATGAGTACGAAAAATGAAGTGATAATGGGGTAGAAGAGGTACCTGGTGATGTGGATGAGGGTCGTTGGAATCAAGAGCATTAATAACAAAATTGGGTCTTCGTCGAGGGAAAGCAAAGAGCTGGTACTGGGTGGAGGCAGAAGAGGAAACATTGAGGAGAAAAATGAGATTTTGATGAGGGCGAGGGAAAGAGGAAGAGAAAGCCAAAGTGGGAAATTTGAATTGTACGAGGTTGCGGTTTTGATGTTGACTTTGGCGTTGAAGATGAAGAGGAGCATAAGGTGGAGACACGCATGACCTAGCCATGAGTTTGAGTGGATTTAATGTTGTGATGTTGATAACAAAACAACTTGGTATGACAATAATAGTGCAGCAAGGTTTGCATTCAACAAATGTTGTTATTCTGATTTCAGAAACGAAACACCAAAAGAGTGAGTGAGTTGCAGTTGTAGTGTGTTGGGGAATGGGATTGGTCGGTGGTAGATATGCATATCTCCAATACACTACACGTGGATTCACTCTTGATATTTGCTTCCTTTACCGCATCTACACTTAAATTCATGAACATATTAGTGTAACAACTGGGGATCGCAGTTGCACCGTACGATTCAAGGAGATATTTTCTCAAATTTTATTTCTCCTATATTAAAATAGTAAAATTATTCTATTGTGTAGTAAGAGAGAATTATCTTACGTTATGATACATCGATAGAAGGGCCGGCTTGGCTCAGCGGTAAGCTTGCTTGCCGTGGTGTGTCAGGTCGCGGGTTCGAATCAGCCTCTCTGCAAAAAACAGGGGAAAGACTGCCTAGAGTATTCCCTTCCCCAGACACTCACGAAGTGGGTATTTGAACTGGGTCGGCCCTTTATGATACATCGATAAGCATGTTTTGTTATTATTTATTTTTTAGCACATGATAGGACTCATTGTATTGGGTCTTTGACATAATAGAAAATATCTCTTATAACATGAGATTAGATACTCTGTTAAAATAATTAATGGGTTTCTAAGTTCTAATCATTTCAAAACAATAAAATGTAATGTGAGTATGCGATTTTCTTGATTAACGTGGACCTATTATTTTACATTACTTTTTCGAATAAAATTCAAAATTCTTAATTGATACTAAGTGTACTCAATTTAATTGGACTTTCTTATGTGAAAGAAATTTAACAGATAAGAATTGTGTTCAATTTGAATGGTCCCTGTTGCGTATGAAGTAGATTTTATTTTAGATGTTTTTGATAGATCACAATTCGTTTTTTTTATTCTTGTAAACATCACAATTCTTTTTTGTTTCTGAAGATATTTTTTCACTTCTTATATAGAAGACTAAGTGATATATGTAGGCTACAATTTGATTAGATTATCGTATATAGAAAATAAAAGACCGAAAATAAAAGACCAGTCTCCTCTAATAAAAAAATAAGAGATAGATGTTGACATCTAGCCTTTTCCTTTTAATGGATTCTTTTTATGTTACAAAAAATCTATTTAGACATAGATTGACACTTCATAGCGTCATTTTGGTATTATAAACTTCTGCCATATATAGAAGTATACTTTAAATGCTATTCATACCATCTCTTAAACCTTGGTTATTATTGTAGTAAAAATTAAGAAATTAGTTGAAATGAATTATGTATTAGGTGCCTGGTTTATAATCTATGCTTTGCTATTTGCTTGTTTCCTAATGCAATCTTTACCGGTTGGGACAATAAATGAAATAAATTGATTTAGACAAAAAGGCTTGCATCAGACAGAGTACACTTTTATGGAAGACATGTTCATAACTGTATTTTTTACTGACAACAAAACAATTTCATTAGATTTCATCAAAAACTAAACTTTCAGTAAAAAAAATTATAATAATAATCTCTTGAAATATATTGTAACTAGCCCATGAAACTGCTCTTAATACAAGTCTTCCTAGTAAACAGTAGCCTCATCATCTTGGAATAAAAATTTGAGATCCATAGATTTTATCCCTCAACATATTGATAAAACAGAATTATTCCAACAGACAATACATTTATGGGGTTTACAAATCCTCAAAAGTTCCCTCATATAGTCCTCTTTCGTCTATTTTGAATCAGGAAGATAGATTTCTAGGTACATACTTCCTTTCTGTATATATACATGTCTCTATGATGAGTCCATATTAATGTTTCAATAGCATGGCCTCCATCTCTCTCTTCCTCGCGGCATGTTTTAGTTTCTCCAATGCAACAAGTCCAACTTGCCTTACTCTTTCTCTTGACAATCCTATCCTGCAGAAAGAACACAACAAGTGTCATAAAAAGAATTTGAACTTTTGAGGACAACAAAAATCGAACATGACTCAACTTAGTGCAGTTAGTGTGAGTGTGTGACCACTTTCAAGCCTCATTTCAGCTTAACACATAAGAATAAGTGATATGATATTGAGGAAGAGCAATGAGTGAGTTACAAAAAAATTATGCTATAGATGGATCAAATTAGATGATGTATAATTGCAAAATTTTAGTTGACAAGGGCAATTGAGAAAAAAAGAAAGTAATTGGAAATCATAGTTGAACTCACCGTTTACTAATGTCTTCCCACGTGAGACATTCTTTATCCAGTCCATAATAAAGACGAATGATATCTCTCTCTCGTTCCACAAGGGTCACATTAATGAGTTTGTTCACTTCATCCTGTGAATATTTACAATTGGTATTAATCTTTAAGGAAGTTTAGTATATAAATAAGTATATACTGCAACGAAAAATTCATGAAACGACATGAAAAAAGTTTAATTTCAGCATATTTCAAATCATTTGACCCTATTAGAGGAAGAATCCTATACTGGTTTCAGCATTCATTTTTATAAAAAGAACAAAAAAAGAGTAAGCTTAAAATAATTTGTATTTTCTAGAATAACACATTTTATAACAAATCAATGTTAACTTACAATCCTTATATATCATCCTAATGTCAGCCTATAGTCCACTGTGAAAAATATGAAGAAAATGACATTAAATCAATATACATGTACTTAAAAAAAGGATCAACATACAGAGCACTAAAGGATAACAGGCATTCAAACACTCCTCAGCTTGTCATTCAAACATTAAGTCAGGTTTCATTCAGATATTTTCTTACATACCTTAAGTGCCCACTCATCTACTCCATTCCATGGGATGTTCTCAAGGCGATTATCTGCAATATACTGGGAGTAGAAAGGAAAAAAAGAATTGAGAAAGTTTTTATTCTAGAAAAAAAAAAAAAAGGAAAAGAAAGCATTTCTAATGATCTTCCTTGATGGACTTGTAGAAAAGTATTAACACTTACACTATGATGAGTTTCTCCTGGAAGACCATTCAGAGAGGGGAATGCTTCCCTATCAAGCGATCTAACTTTGCTGACTGCCTGCAATATGTATATAAATGGTGAACATATGGATAATAGGATGTTACATTACATGTATGAGGATCATGTAACTCAATGATTTTTGTTACCTCAGTGGCATTTCTGACTTTCTTTTGAGACATATTAAGGTATTTTGCTATCCCCTGCAAAACAAGGGAACAGTTCAGGCAGGTCTACTTATACATAAAAGTTCTAAAATATATGATACAGACTGTAGTTGCTTTCTTTTTATACATTTAGCTGACTTACATCAATAGTTGGAGAAATGCCTCTCTCTTCCAGCCTAAACTTTGCATTGCGGATTAAAGATAATCTCTCGTGCAAATGAGAGGGCAATCTTAATGTTCTTGAATTCTCAACTAAAGCTCTTGAAACACCCTGTCAACAGAAAAACATGATTCATGGTGGTTGGACAAATTTGAGTTGTAAAATACCCTTGCACGGATTTCTTAGAACACAATAATATGGGGTTCCAAAACTAATAAAAATGGAAAGAGAAAAAAAATGGTGCTGTAGATGCATTCTCTACACCTAAAATTGTTACTTCAGTAAAATCAGCAGCCTGGAAGTGAAAGGGAGCAACTGATTCATACCCATATGCAGAAATTATGGCTGCAAGAAGGACTCCCAGAGGTTTAATACTGATTATAAAACACAAGCTATATAATACCCAGGTTTACAAAAATTATGAGAAAAATGAAAGTATTTGACAGAAGTAATATTAAGAGATTTCGTGAAAATATTTTGCCATACACTGCCCTTGTTTCCACTGGCTTTAAAATTATAAATTGGATGAATCTTATGACAATTTCTAAAGAACAATATTGGTGAGGATGTCTGATAATCATCCATATGGCAAGCATGTCGCGAAAATTCTCATAAATATGCAAGCCTCACCTGACGTATCCACCAGTAAACATAAGTTGAAATCTTAAACCCTTTTGAAGAATCAAACTTCTCAATCCCACGAAGTAGTCCAATCAAGCCACCCTACAGAGAAAACAAGATGAGTATTTTACAACAGACAAAGCAACAAAGCTAACTAGATATGAAGTTAAAACAGAGATATCTATATAATCACCTGAACAAGGTCAGCCATTTCAGCACCCAAATTATCAAATCTTTGAGCAATAGACATAACTAAGCGAACATTGCTCATAGCCAACTTTTCTCTTGCCAAAGAGCACTCTATGGTTTTTGCTCGTAGTTCAGCACAAGAAATCTTCAATGAAGTCGCCATTTGATCATCAGAGGGTTCACATCCTAGTCTTTCCTTCAATCTGAAATAAAAGATTTACAAATAATGTACGTCAACTATTATTCTCTTCAAGGTAAAACCAGAACCAAAGGAAGTCAAGTTTCAAAATTATTTGCTACAATTTCCTCAAATAATATTAAAAAACTAAAATTAAAAAATTGAAGTATCCCAAAGAATGTTGTTTTTTCATTATAAAAGATAACCATTCTATAATAACTTTATAAGAAGTGGATACATGCTTAATGATTTACATAAATTTTTCTCCATCCTAATGCAAGTCCCTTAGATTAACAAATAGAAGCAATATCTCTGCCTCTATCACCAGAACTATGTTGTCAAAAGCTAACAACAATGTGAAGGATATATTTGAATTTCATTAGTTCAATAAGGTGAAAGAAATTCAAATTACTTGTCCGTGCTCCGCCTGTAAAAAAGTAGTATACACTATTTTATACGTAAACTTATCAAGAAAACTAATGCTCTGGCATTGACTTCAGAGTTTTAAAGAGTAGAGTTGTGATAAAAATTTAAAGCTATTAAAATGATAGCTATACAGAAGAAATCGCAAAGAACAAAATAGATCTTCTTGCCAAGCAGCCAGAAACCGCCTTTACCTTTGTCATTATTGATTAGTCTCATTCCCCATTAAGATTGTAGGATTAAAATAAAATATTGATCATTCAGGTTTGCAAATTAAGCAACAAAACTTCCTTTTAAGTGATCCAGGGATTCTTTAACTTGCTGCATTGTTTCGATTAAGAAATCACTAACTTTTACAATTGCACGATAATGGAAGCTAAGTAACAGGCAAACCATAAAAAAGAACAGATATTTCATCATTTTAATGAATCATAGGATCAACAATATATGCAATTACCTGGATTTATGCTCCTCTAAGGAAAGCCCAACTTTTATTTTCTCTGAGAGGTTTACAACTTCTGCATGAGATAGCAATTCTTCACTCACTACACCTTTCACATAGCCCTTCAAACGGTTTTGAAGTAGTTCAGGACTGATGATGGACCTCAACTGCATAGCAGCACAAGGTTGCATCATTGCAGAGCCAGTTTTACCCGGGGCCTTCCTCTTGGTATTCATTCTTCTTTGCCTTGCAGACACCCCAGAACAAGTTACTGCCACTTTCCTATGGCTTTTTTCTCTTTTCGAATGCTTGATTAGCACTTCCCTTTCAAAAGAAAGGTTCCACTGCTTTTCCAGCATTGACTTCTGCAGCAAAAGAAGAGCCTCCACAGAATAACCCATGTCAGAGCTTTCTGCCTCTAAGTCATTAGAATTGTATCTCTCAAACCATGGATCTGCAATTGCAGGAGCAGCATCAACATGTTCCTTAAGAGCTTTGATAGACTGATTCTGCTGGTTGGATGTTGGAAAAGTTGGAGTGTAGTTGGATGACTTCTTAGCAATAATCACAGATTTTGTAGGAACAATCTGATAGTGTGTGGATCCAAAGTCACTGCCATAAGAAAGCTTTTCTATGATATCAGAGTAATGGTAAGATGAACTCAAGAGCCTTTTTCCTCCACTGAGTCCAATAACTGCAGCTGTAGCCATTATACTCCTACCTAGAAACTATGTATGATTACCATCAAATTCTCCTATTATACCAATGATTCTTAACCTTATCCACTGCACGTATTGCTTTCAGAAACTTCCCAAATTTTTGTTAACCATCTGATAAACCAAAAAATAACCAAAAATAGTAATTAATATTATAACAAAATAACAAATTATTCATGATTTCAATTATAAAGTGGATTAATAAATATTCACTTTTTCTTTCCCTGTGAATATACTTCATGAAAACAACCATACAAGCCTGTAGCAAATAAAACTGGGTACCCAAATGAAAATGAACACAGACACGAAATGGGTTTCAGCCAAAGTTCCAAATTTTAATGGAAACATAGAAAATGGTAAATGGGGTATGCCTGTGAATGGAGTACCTGAATAAAATTGGAATTTGGACAACGATGATTGCACCAAAAACAATAACTTAGCAATTTAGAATCACTGAATCAGCTTGCAGCTGCACACTGGAAAGGCTTCACTCAAAAAACTGTTGGTGTGGAAGGAAATAACGTTGCTATTGTTAGATTTTTCTCTCTTTTTTTCTTTTCCTCCTTTAATTTATTATTATATATATTATTATTATTCATAGAGAGAGGAAGTTAATTTGGTTGGAAGAAAGAAAGGGAAGAGAAAATAGAAAATAAAAGAAATAAAAATAGAAATGAGAAAAAATGAAAAGATAAAGATATGGAAAGGAGAGAAGTTATTGGCTGGAACAGATTTTGGGACCAGCTTTGAGTGGTCTATGATGCATTGTGTTCTCTGCTCTCTTAATTCCACGTTCGCCTTCGATTCAACAATTTTTTTATTTTTATTTTTTCAATAACTATATATGTTTTCTATAAATTCTATTTGCTAGCTCATAGATTTTTTCAATTACTGGATGGAAGCTAAACACATGTCTTATGTGTACCTTTTGGCAAAAGTAAAATTTTGTTTATGTAAAATGTAATTTAAATGCGTCTTGAGTGTACTTATATATGGTTTATTTAATTCTTATCTTATAGATAAATGATTTAATAATGAACCTTTTTTCACTGTTTTTCTTAATTATATACAGAAAAATATTAACTTATATCGATGTTAAGTGTTAAGTTTTATATCCATTATTCATTACTAAATTTCTCTAATTTATTATTAGTTATTAATTCCAAATGGGATCAATAGTTGATAATGGGCCGAGTAATTTCTTCTTTCTTCAATATACATATATATATGTAGATAACTCATTAGTGATTTTTTTTTCATTGTATTTCAAATGACAAATTGTTGGAAATGCAATGGACCTTCTTTTCTTTTGACCAGAACCGACCCACTTAGAGGCCCAAGAGAGTTGCACTTCAAAATTGCAGGCTTTGAACTGGCCTTTTTATTTTAGGTCCAATGTAGTGGGATATGTTCATCGTCTTCAATCTTGTATAGGACAGGTCTAGGATTTGAATTAATCAATGGACTACCCAAACATATAAAAGGATTGTATCCAAAAAAAAAAAAAAAGTTTATATTTATCATTTAATATGACACAACAAACTTTCCTAAACACACAATATTTTGTGGGCTCACACTTTTTGAAGAAAAAAAAAAAAAATTACGGCACGCAAAACAAATCTCTATAACATTATACAATCATTTTTCCTACAACATAACTCTTATAAAACTAAAAAAAAAACATATAAAATAAAAGTATTTAGCAGGCTATGGCTGAACTTAGCTGCTTACCCCAGATTTTTTTATTTTTATTTTTATTTTGGGTAAGCTTTTTTATCTATAAATAATATTCTGTTTTTATATTGTTAAATTATTATTTTTGTTTTTGAAGATTTGATTTACTTGTTATATATTTTGCTCATTTGTAGTTATTCTATTATCTTCTCTTGATTAAAAAAATCATTTAAAGAAAAAATAGTCTAATTAAATAAAAAAATAATGATAACAAATATAAAACAAGCATACTCATGTATTATAAAACTTAGCATTAAAAAATGTTTGTGCTGATAACTACTATATGAGATGGTGTAATTTTGTGGGATTAGTCATTTCTTAGGAGTTCCGTGCAGATTTGAAAATGAAAGATGTATCAATAAATCAACAGTATCCTTGTTTAAGATAAACTAATAACATCTCTAGATTAAAATATTGACTAATCATATCATTAAGTTTTACTTTAGAGGTTGGAGGGATGAATATACACGTCGTGGTCATGTTGCCAATCACGCCTAGAGTCCTAGACTATCTTATTCCTAATTCCAAGCTCTAAACTTTCCAAATCCCCTTTGCCCTAGTGGCTAATATTTTTTGCAGGTTATTATATTTGTCTCATTCAACGAGTCACAAACTGATACATATCTATTTCATGGTTGAAAATTTTTGGGACAAAAATAATTAGGATGCGGTATTATGGAGGATTTTCGGGAAACTGAATTTTTCTACATTTTAAATTTTAAAATATTATCGTAAACTGAATGTAAAATTTATATTTTTGAAAATTGAGATTACTGGATAAAAAAAAAATTTCTCCTCTACCAAACACCCTCTTAATATAACCTTAAATCTCAGTCATCAATTGAAAATCACTAACTACATTGTTAGTGAGTCTGAGTCACCCACTGTTTATCTGTAGAAAAATAAATAAAAGAAGCAGTGAATAAATACGCAAGTGACAACACAACAATAAAATAGTGAGTGTACAAAAACACTTACGTGACAACACAATGAGATGGTGTAATTCTGTGGGATTAGTCATTTCTTAGGAGATAATTTAAGAGATTAAAGTGTTTGATGTTGTAAGAAATAATTTAATCATTTATGCACATAAAAATATATGAGTTCTATATAGAATCATATGAGAAAAAAAGAGATAAAAGAAAAATATAAGCCTCATATATTTTTATATATGTATAAGAGATAAAATTATCTCCTATAACATGAGAAATATTAATATCATAAACTAATATCATCCTTGTTTAAAATGAAGTAATAACATCCTTGGATTAAAATATTTACTAATCATATCATTAAACTTTAATTTAGTGGCAGAGAGAAGAATATACACGTCGTGTTCAAGTTGCTAATCTCGCCTAAACTATCTTATTCGTAAACCTTTACCTTAGTGGCTAATATTTTTAACAGGTTATTATATTTGCCTCAGTCAATGATTCACACACTGATACGTATATAATTCATGGTTGAAAATTGTTTGGACAAAATTAATTAATGTTACATTGAGTCACAATCATCAGTTGAAAACCACTAACTGCTTGTTTAGTGGATCTGAGTCACCCACTAATCACTACTCAGCTGTAAAAAAAAAATAAAACAATGAGTGAATAAAATACTCAAAGTGAACACACAATAATGAAGCTGTCGCTATGAATAAGAATGATAACTTCATCCATTAAATCTTTGACATTGAAGTAACAAGACATTATTGTCACTGCAATCAATTTCATTGCTTGCGTTATTGGTTTGGAAGACACGCCACTTTTGTTTCGATTATTAATACCACCAATTCGGAATTGGAAGCACATTTTTCATGTATAACATTACTGTCTCTCTTACCCTAACCCTAATCCTCATTTGCCATTCTTCATCCGCTCTCGAATAACTTTTGCAAGATATACAAATTAAACTAATTTCTGGGTAATTATACTTGCACTGATTCATTTAATCTTTTCAGAATTTTTCAGTTTTTGTGCTAAAATAAAAGTCTAGTAAAATTAGTGACCTAGCTCCTAATCTCCTAACAATAAGTGCTGATATATTTGTCCCTTTTCTTAATGTGTAATTTGTTTAGTTTCTTATGACAAAAAAAAAAAAAAAAGTTAACTAGGAAGTTTGCAAAATGGACCTCCGGAGTTTAACCATGTTTATTTAAGTTGAACACTAAATAAATTCAAGTGCATTTCATTCTCAGAATACGTTAGTGAAGTGACAACCATGATGCAAAAACACATGATAAAAAAAAGGGACATGCTTCTTCGGGAAATTCTTACCTAAAAGTATATATAATTTGATAGTAAATTGAGCGGTTATACAATGGTGTAGTCACGTTAGGTGTCGGGAAAGTCTCGGCCCTAGTTAAAATTTGAAAATTAGTCACGTTTTCAACTTGTTAAATAATCTTTCACATTTTAGTGTTTGACACCAGTTAAATTTTCCTTGACCCTGGACGCTGGCTCCGCCAGTGCGATTACTTCAATAGCGAATCTTAAAAAGAGAAAGAAGGAAACGAACATAGCAATGAATAACGAAGTAAATTATGTGGGGTTTCATTTTCTCATGCTGCATGGGAATTGAATTCTCATGTTGTGACTCAATCAGTAGTGAGTCTCACATTTATTAGAAAAAGAAAAAAAAATTACACGCAAATCGAAAGGTCACAACATGAAAATTTGAAAAAATATTTTCATGTGGGTTCATCTACCACCGACCCCAATTAATTTGGGATAAATGTGTTGTTGATGTTGATGTTGATTTTTCCAAATTATATTAGCTACTTGAGCTGATGACATTTTAAGCAATGGACCATTTGGACAGCAAGTGGTCAAGTAGGATCCTCTGCCTCATAATAAGATGAGGACAAACAGTATTCTCATCATATGCATCACACACGCTGCGATCAAAGCCACCAATTTGGTATGATGCAATACACTATGCCTTATTAAAGTTAGCAAAGGGATGCCAACTACCAAATAAAAGAAAGTTGCTGGGATTAAAATGACCAATCCAACATCTGATAGACCCCTCTCAGGAACAACTTTAGGACTTTCCTGTTTGGGGGCCAAGCAAGGTTGCTCTCCTTTTGCACACTCGTCAACAAAATGGATTTATTTGTGGACCATTTTCCCTTCGTCCTCTCACCTCAAAAACATTGATACTATTATGAGGTGTAATAGGATAAGTCGAGATGTACGATCAATAAAAAAGTTGGTTCAATATATTAGCCTAAACATCAACGGTACGAAGAATGAGTACCTTAACAATATATATATATATAAATATATATATATGAGTTCGCTTTTTCTATAGTCAATGTAGATAACTTATCTACATTGAGCTTAAAACGACGTCGTTTTGAGGCAGAAATTAAGTTATTTTTGTAATTATAATTTTTAGGGTTATAATAGTCTTTTTCATTATAATTTTTTAATCCAAAACGATGTCGTTTTAGGAGCGAATGTAGATAACTTATCTACGTTCATTTTAGAAACGTTAAAGCCTATATATATATATATATATATATATATATATATATATATATCGGTTCATTTTTTCTGCAGTTATTGCAAATAAGTTATCTGTACGACGTCGTTTTGGGAAATACAGATAATTTATCTGCATTAACTGCAGAAATATTTTTCTGTATATATATTTGTATTAATAATGTATTTGGCATGAAAATTGTTAGAGAATAATATAAATCATTAAAACGATCTTCACTTAACATCTTCAGATTTTGGATTGAACTGATTTTTTATATAATATCAGAACTTTAGTGACGACGAGGTCAAGAATTTGATCCTCACTATTAAAAAGAGGTGAGGATAATATTTTTTTTAAACCATTAAAAAAACCATCATCTAACACCTAAGGTAAATTTGAATTTTTTAGAATTCAACCCATTACATGTGCATGTAAAATGCCTTACATAGGTGAAAATGAGTATTATGAATCCAAGCTAGAGACCAAGAGGCTAGTCCGTAACATATACTTTACATACACAATCCAAACAACTTAGGCATACCAATTGTATACTTTTTTTTTTTTTTTAATAAACAATTTTATACTTTGTTCTGAGAAGAGTTGTACCTTTGGCAAGTCATTTTTCTTCAAAAACAGCATACTTTTTCAAAGTCAAATGCACCTACGTTTCACACCAAACTATGGATATGCAACCAACTACTTGACCAGTAGGAAGAAAGGAGAATTGCAAGCTGTTTAGAGAGAAACAATGCTTCTATACATGTCTGAAAATGAGAATGGTTCTCCTACCACTCTGCTTGAAACAATATTTGATGAGTCCGTGCAACAAGAAAAGTAATATTCAAAAAATAAATAAAATAACACAATTGTAATGTAAGCTTTAGAAGCCACCCTATTGAAAACTATGTAGAGGTCATGCTTTATTGCCCAGTTTGCAAAGGCATCTTATGACCGCAACGACATAAGATCCCAAGCCAAATTTTTGGCAACCGTAAAACATGCCTATCTAAGTACTTAAATAAGTTAGTAGTGTTAGTTTATGATGAAATAAGTTAATAGTGTTAGTCAATTTCTGATAGAATCACCAAGTATCTTCTGATATCAGTACTGAATGAATAAGGAGAAAAATGCCAAGTAATGCTCCTCAAACTCAGAGTCCAATGGAGGGGCTTGGACCAAAATTCACAAAAGCATGGAGCTTATCTTTACCAGCTATTGTTTATTTGCAGCTTTGTGCACCCATTAAGCCATTGAAAAAATGCAACAAAGATCAATTTGTAAACTCACACGTTTCATTCTTGACCTCCCAACAATGTGGTTGATTTCCAAAGTTCACAAGTTACAAGCAGTTCTTGAAAAGCTCATGTTTATGGATGATACTACACTATAATGGGTAATTGGGTATATCACATGATGTACATACAGGTAACATATCAACCTGCCCTCCAATGTTATGAAGAAAGATAAAAGTTAAAGACGCCCTCTCTATTTTTAACCATTGTTGGGCATGTTCCTCTTTAATTTAATGACCTGAAAGCTGTGACTTCATAGGCACTCCTAGAAGAGACACGCAGTCACATAGTATTGCTGACTCCTTTGACTCTTATACTTCGAGTGGACATTCCCGTGCTCTATTAGACCTTGACTCTTCAATCTTTGTGGCAACCTCTGACACTACAAGCCTGGTCAAAAGTAGCCCTGCAATTAAAGCTGCAGCCATCAACATTGTGAAAACTGCACTCCAGCTCTTTGCAGATATGTAACCTGTTAATAGAGGCCCAATTGCAGCCCCTATAGAACCTGTTCCATCAATGATTGCCGTTACAGTTGCCAGAGCTCGTGAATTTCCCTTCAATGACTTGTGTGTTCCCAGGTCAGCTGAAACTGCAGTTGTTATAAGAGCATAAGGCCCGTTCACAAACATGCCAGTGATGAACATCAAAGCTCCATTAACAATCAATGAAACATGCCCATAACTTCGATAGAAGAAGAGCGCAGGGATTGCACAGTACATGAAACTTGCAGCTGTTATGGCTCTAGCATCTAAGTGATCAGAAATGTGGCCAGCTAGAATTCCTCCCAGCACTCCTCCAACATCAAATAAAGTGGATAGAGTTCCTGCTGTCTCACTGGATAGATATTTTCCATCGATTGCTGCATTATAATGAACATCAATGAGAAATTGAAGATTTTAATAAGGTAAAATGCATTAGGCAGAGGAAATATGGAGCTATATGAAGATTATGATTGTTTATAGCAATTGTAAAAAGTAAATGTCATGCAGATTAAACATAAAGATAAAATTTAAGATAAGTAGAATGTTTAAGTACCTGTGTGGCAAATATAGAATGGGAGCCAATACAGAAATGTATATGCAACCAATTTGGCAAAAAACAGACAAAGAGCAAAAGGAGCAACCCCAGGAATTTTCCATGCCTCTATGAACCCAACTGCTTTGTCCTCGACTCGAGTTTCTTGGCTTAACAGAGGTTCTGTCTCTTCATCTCCACTTTTCTTGGGACAACTATATTCATCTTCCTCTCTATCAGCTCCAACAGACTCAGGTGTGACCGGCAATATAAGGAAAACAACCAAACCGACAAAACCCATCATTAGTCCTGGCACAACAAAGGACCAACCCCATCCATAGCTCAACATAGCAGAAGCAATCAAAGAACCTGCAATGTTCCCAACAGAAGTGTGAGCATTCCAAATTCCCATGATCAGGCCTCTCTTGCTCTTTCCAAACCAGTTACCCACAATGGCAACTACTGACGGCCATCCAGTGGATTGAAACAATCCAGCAAACATTTGAACTACTAAGAAATAGTAGAAGTTATGAATGTTTCCCCAGTAACCTAGACCAAAGAGTGTAGTGAACAAAGCAGTTCCCAGCATCCCCACTGTAAGAAAAATCCTTAAATTACACCTGTCACCAAAATGTCCAGAAAAGTACATCCCAAAAGCATATACTGAAAGAAAAGCAACATCCAATTCTCCAAGAAGGGATGTCCCATCTGATCCATTAAATGGAGCCCAACCATCTCCAAGGCTCCAAGAAAATCTCCTTGATCCAGTTGATGCAGTGAAATTGGTTTGTCTCAATGGATAGAAATTCAAGCCTAAATCTGATGTTTGGGGATCAAGGACACTCTTAACAATACTTGTGGTTTTTCGGGTGGCATGATAACTAGCATAAGCTAAAAATGTTACAATAAGAACGATGGCTTGATGGGTTTTGAAGGAAATAGGGCTTCCATTTAAGTATTGTAGGACCCGAGTCCCAGGGAGCTTATTGCAACTTCTCTGAGGTAACTGTTCTTGTGCTGAACCCATGTATTATAGCTGCAACAAAGAGGAAGAAGTTCAGCTTCCCCTTATAAAATAAAACTGCAAAAATGAAAGATGAATAAGTAAGAAAGAGTATGTTACTTGATCGATTCATGACAATCTGATTGCACAATAAAATAGTAATTGATGACAAGCATAACCATTAATTTAATTCAAGAGTTTTTTTTATATATAGAATTAAAAGATTCCAATACCCTAAGATCTAAAAACAATTTCCAGTGATCATATATTTTCTCCAGGATCTAAAAACAAGAGAAATTCCACATGTTGTTAAATAGACCAATAGCAAGATGGTAGAACATCAAGGATCAGAAAATTAGCGACCCATTTGACTCAAAAGAATAAATTAAAAATTTTTTAAAAAAAAAAACGAACTAAGAAAGGTAATAAATTTATAACAGTAGACCTCAAAAGTGAATTTGAAAACAATAACCGAAGAAAATCAGCAGCTTAAGTTTCCTTCATAAAGATTTAAGAAAACCAAGCAAAACAAAGTTCAGAAAACACCCATTGACCCAATTATCCTCTCGACGGTTACTCCAAGATGGAATGAATTTCCCAACACCAAAACAAGCGAAAAAATCGAAATCAGACGCACCCCAGAAATCAAATGTTGTTCGGAAAGATTAAGGACCAAAACCAAGACATAATATATAAACTTGAAAGCACAATGAAGAAAAATAAAACAAAGATTAGGAAATCGTACCCCTCAAGCAAAGAAGAGCTGACTAGGTTGCTTGTGTTCTGCTACTTGTGTTGAAAATTCTGGGTGTGAAGTGTGAAAACTCGTTCACCCTTAGAGACCTTGCGTGCTTAGCCTGTGTACCTTGTGGCACTTGTTATAGCAACGAAAGCGTTCTCCAGCTACAGATAAAGATTAAGCGCGTGATTAATCGTGCTTCATGTTAATGTTATTTTATTCGTGGTGAAAGGTCCATATTACACTCTTTTTATATAACAATTGCCGTGTCGATTACCGGTTTTCTCAGAATTACGAGAATGCCATCACCTCCCATGAATTGACCAAAATGTCTCTTTCGTACGGTATCGTTATCTTTCTTCTACCCAGTGTATGTCGTCTGACTTATGTAATACGATAATAATGATGTTTTTTTTTTATAAATGAAAAAATGGAATGGCTATTTTTACGAACATTTTTTTCTTATAATTATTTTTATTTTCATTCAATCAAAATTAAATCAACAATTATGAAATGTTAATAATAATTAAAATTATTCTATAGTCAAATTGTGTTTGGATTACCCAGGCATAATGGTTAATCTTTCAAATCACTAATTCACTATAACTCTTTTTATGATATTGAACTGTTGACTTGATGTAATCTTTCATTAACAAGTCATTGAATTTTCTTAATGGGGTGTTTGGTAGAGGAGAAATTTTTTTTTGTTTAGAAATCTCAATTTTCAAAAATATAATTTTTACATTTAGTTTACGGTAATATTTAAAAATTTAAAATTTAAAAAAATTCAATTTTCCGAAAATCCTGTAAAATTTTTTACCAAACCTCCCCTAAATATTTTCATATGTTGAGGAAGGCATAGGTTATTGGTTATTAGTTATAAGTTGGCCTAGATTTACTTAACAAATAAGTTATATGTTTGCGTGTTTGCATTAATTTTTATGAATGTTTTTATTAAAAGCTATTTTAATTTTTTCAAAACTTATTTAATTATTAAAAAAATATTTTTAAATTAAAATATAATTTTCCCCTGAATTTCTAAGTGTGTAGTATAAAAAAAAAAAATATTTGTTTCATGAAGGAGTTGATCACGTCACTGCCTTTTGTGAAGGCAATTTCATAATATAATATTGATTCCAAAATTGACAAGATCCTATATAGCTCACACTCAACAACGTGTGGAGTACTTATACCCAACGATGATCAACCACACACTTATGTTTAGTTTAGGCAATAGAAAATTGAGTAAAATCTCTAAACTTAAATTATAGTAACTACTTTGAAATAAAAATTTAAATTTAACACCACAAAAAATATCCAAATACAAATATTGATTGTTAACATTGTTAGAAGCGCAAGTATAATTTAATTCTATTTTAATTTTTTCTAGTTTTGTTTTTCATGACTTGCTAATTCAATAATGAGTTTTATATCGTATTTAATTATTTATGATAGGGAGTGGTTCCATACTTCCATCAATCGAACATGATATTTCGTCAATCCGGGTCAAGTGAGGTATATACAAATAATTGATCAAGTATGTGTTATTGGTCTTTGTCTCGTTCATCACAAACTGGTCACAGGGTGTTCGATAGTTTTGTTTAATAAAAAAAGAAAATAAAAGATGGGAAACACATTTTGGCGTTGCTAGTTGCGAAAAAGCTCATAGAATTGGACAAAAAAAATTAAAATAAAACACAGTTAAAAGTTAAAACTACTGATTAAAGTGAAGGGCATTTTGGTCAAAGTGACCACAATTAAAGCAGGGCGTTATTTTGTAAATCTAGCCGAAGTAGCAGGGACAGAATCGTCATACCATAACTGCTAAGAGTATATTCGAATATCCCAAAAGCATTATTCCTTACGTGAAGCGGATATCCGCCGCCCAAAAGGGACCCACCTTTCCTACGTGGAGGATTAAATATGACGTGGACAACGGACACCGCCCAGTCCATTTGGATGCCACGTCTCATCGCTCCTCAATTGTTTTAGTTTTTATTTTTTATTTTTAAGTACGTTAATTTTTTTGCTTTTGTTTCGTTTTCTCCTTCTTTGTAAACAATGGATATGAAAAAAAGAAATGATGTTTTTTCAAATATTTGGGAAAATTCGGATACTGGACGAATCTGGGTGGAAATTAACGCAACAATTACATGTTCTACTTTGTACAAATAGAATTTTTTAGTTTGACATGTGTTGTTATTAGATTATTACTTGATGATCATTTAGCACGTTTTGTTAAATGTAAGACAAGATAAAATAATAAGTCTCATCCCATAGGATGATACATCATGAAGGAAGGGTTGAACCAAAACCTTGCTTTTACACATGGGGGAGAAAAACTACAAAGCAAAACAGAAGGCAAGAGAAGCCTATAGTATGATGAAGAAAAAATATTAATTATTCAAGTCTTGAATATGTAGTTATGTTAAAATTTTGAGAGATTACTTACTAGGGGAGAGATTCCTTGGTCTGTGATACATTTAACTTAGGAATTGGAGATAATCTTATGGGATTTCAACATTTAGTTCCTTGATATTAAGAGATTTGGCATGATATCTACACTAATTGATTGGTATGATATTAAGAGATTTGGTATAATAATTCCTAATGGAATTGAGATAGCTAATGCCATCTTTGCACTCTTTTGGGCTTTGGCCATGGTGGCCTGAGCCAAAAATCGTGCAAAACAAATCTAATAGTAAAAGAAAAAAAGATGAAAATTTGATTGGCTAAGTAATTACATAGGAAAAACCTATTCAAATGAGAAACACAGTCTTTATGTCGTTCCAAAATTTAGAAGTGAAGATAGCAATAAAAGATGCATCCTTTTTTCTGTTTTTTTTTTTGGCCAGACATGTTTAGTGTAATATCAGCTAACCTTAGTTTTATGAGTTCAAATGGCGCTAGTTTCACATTAATATAATAATGATACTACGACCCCACTTTCTCATTCTTTGAATCATTTAAACTAACATTAACCAGTTTTATCAATTTAATGATAAGAAATATTCGTCATGTGTGTTCTATTTTAATATATTAATTTGAGAAATTGTTAAGTGTAGCAATAGGTCAAGTGGCTCTCAAGAGTTTATAGTTTTGACAAACTTAACACGTTTAATAAAATTGTGAAATCTATTTAATTAAACAAGTCAGGCTTTTCGTCTTTGAAAAAGTCTTTTAGACCTAACAGGCTGACCTCCAATATACATGTAATTGATTTTAATTATAAAGTTGTATTGCATAATTAACTATTGAACTAATCGTTGATTGTATCTAGTAAGTAGTTATTAATTAGTCAACATGTTAGAGCGGCAAAAATTAATAAATTATAACTTGATAAATTTTTGTGATGCCGTGATACTTCTAACATTATATAATCTATCAGTTCATATCATTTATTGATAAGTACAATGACCAAGATGTTTAATGTTTTAAATATTTGTAAGCCCAAGTAAATAATAATAATAATATTACTACTGTTGTAATGTTTTAAGATTATATATTTATTGATTTTTTTTTTTTAAGTTTAAGCTGCTGATTCTTAAAAGGTCAAGTCAAATCTTAAAAAAAAAAAAGTATTGGTGAAGAAAAATGAACCAAATTCAAATTTCGTTTTCAAACCAAGTCCGCTTAAAAGTAAAGCCTACTCTCACCTTTTTTTTATTCTAATTGTTATCTCAACCTACCTTAATTTATTTAGGCTGATTTACTATGTTAATTAATTTTTCCTACAAGATAAACTAATTAATTTGTACGGCTTTCAGGTGATTTCAAAACAGACAAAGTTTTGTGTTCTTACAGTTGTATTACCTAGCTGAGTTTATTTTATATTTGAGGATTTATCGTTGAGATAAAATTATCTCCACTGATCCTAAAATTATGTCAATTTAAGAATTGAAAAAATTAATAAGAAAATTTTGATAAAAATCATATAATAAAAAAATATAAAATTATTAGAATATTCTTCATTAATTCTCTCAATTCCAAATTTATATCGTTTTAAAATTGCTTAAGATCAATTTATTTTTTGTGACAGGAGAAATATTTTTTTCCTTGTATTTAAAATAATTTATAGGAGGTTGGAAGGAAAAAGATGTTTAGATTTTCTTAATGAAACATTATCGGACACTTTTAGGGGTATAGATGGGCCCTTGTGCTTAGTTTTGCATTTTTTATTCTAAGTGTGAATGATCTTATTTAAGTTAAAATTTTATCTTTCATAAATATAATTTCAATTTGCAACAATGACATAATCATAATAATCTTTATTAGAAATGTTTTTATAGTATCATTGCTGTAAATTTAAATTTTTTTATAAGAGACAAAATATGTCAAATAAGGTATTATTGTGTAGATCTTGAAAAATTATGTGGAATAAAAAAATTACCTCATTTGAATACCGAGTCAAAATTTATAAACTTTCAATTTTATTGTCAATGTGTTGATCACACCATTTAGAGGGCCATTTGAGGGGAAGTGTCTCTCTCATCAAACACGCTCCTATGAGAAGTGTCCATTTGAGAGAGAGTGTCTCTCTCATCAAACACTCTAGTGTCTCTCTCCGATCGATCATGTCCTACGTGGGACTTTGAATGCTATAAATTCATATTTATATTTAAAATGATTATATCTTTGTAAATATTTATTAAAAAAAAAAATATTTAAATTTTTTTTACCGCAGCACGCATGCTTGGATTTTGAGTGAGCTTAATGCCCATTAATGTTGCTGTTTGCACAAACTCCGAAGATGGTAATCACAAACGGTGCAACGATACAAACTATTCGATCTTTATTTCTTTTGGATCAATGAGAACATCATACTCTACTCCTAATTTTGAGGATTTAATTTCAAGTAACGTCATGCACACTACCTATTTGATTATATATGCATGAGGATAATTGTATACATCTCGCGACTGCTCCTTCATGATTTTACGTGTTATATTTGATTTTTTTATATATAATATTTGCTTGTAAGTATTAATATATGGATTATACTCCGTGTCACCGATTCAGATTTATTCTTCTATCGTAACTTAAACGGTGTTGGGATCGGAGTTGGGTTATTACAATTGAACGTAAAAATCTGCAATCGCATTGAGCTGAAGCGTGAATCATTTATAATTACTGGCTTACTGCATAGTTGTTTGGAGGTGCTTTTGACATCCTTTGTGCGGAGTTATAGATCTTTGTAGAAAGCACCGCTGGGTAACTTGACATAATTACTGATTCCTACTGACACGCAACTTGACATAATCACTTGAAAGGCCAAAACATCATTTATTGGTTGCAACTAACACGCTCCATGAATGCAACCCTAAAGATAAGACTCGCACTTGTTTTTTCCCATGTGCTATAGTTTTTCTTCAAGCTAGGAAATATTTGTAAAGAGGTTTGCATTCAAGCATGCATAATAATCTGATGTAATTATAAATGCAATCGCCATCCTCTAAAACTGTGTATGTCACATTACTTTGAGCGCCTAGGTCTAACTATATATTAGTGGAAAGTTCAGATCAGAATGCAGTATTTTCTGTTGGCCCAAGTCCGAACCATACATGAACAGAAAATTCAGTTTAAGATATTATACTTATCACCATATTCATTCCTTGATTTTCAACCATGAAATCCCTTTTAAAAAAAAAAGTTAAAATCACGTAGACATAACTAAGCATGATCACTCACGATGTCCTTAAAGCTTTCTTTGTCTACTTAAAGGATCCATCAAGTCTACATATGCAAATAACATAGGAAACTTATTTTAATCAACCTTGACATTGATCACATCATTCCTCTCCTCCTCCTTCATTTTAGGAACAACGACCTTGAGCACACCGTTCTTAATCTCAGCTTTGATCTGATCAATCTTGTAAAGCTTGTCTGGCAAGTCAATCCTGCTAGTGTAGCGACGAGGACCCCCTTCCTCGTCGTCACTTTCCTTTGCACCTTCACCTTTGATGGTGAGAGTGTTCTGCTCCACGGAGATCTTCACATCTTCCTTGCCGAGCCCAGGCATGTCCACGCGGAGAAGCAGAGCATCCTCTGTCTCTCTAGCATCCCACCCGCGACGAACTCCAGCTCCAGCTCCGATTCCACGCGACGCAGAGAGGAATGGATTATCCATGAATTGGTCCATCATATTCAGAACCTGACTCAGACTCCGAGTTGTTGAAAATGGATCAAACACATCTGCATATAGCAAAATCGAGGGGAAAATTAATTGTACAAAACAAAAAGTTCAGTAACAGGTTAAGATATACAACTCCACTCACTATTAACTCACTGAATCAAAAGAACGACATCGAAAATTAAGGGGAAAAAAATGGATCAAACAAATCTGCACCTGAATTGCATAAAACAAAAAGTTCAGAGTAAAATGATTCATATATTTAACTCCGCGCACTGTTAACACACTGAATTAAAAGAACGACATAGAAAATTAAGGACAAAAAATGGATCAAACAAATCTGCACTTGAATTGCATAAAACAAAAAGTTCAGAGTAAAATGATTCATATATTTAACTTCGCGCACTGTTAACATACTGAATTAAAAGAACGACATAGAAAATTAAGGACAAAAAATGAATCAAATAAATCTGCACTTGAATTGCATAAAACAAAAAGTTCAGAGTAAAATGTTTCAGATATTTAACTCCGCTCACTATTAACTCATTGAATCAAAATAACAACCTAGAAAATCGAACAGATTCGGCTTGAGCAGGTGAAAGGAAAATTTGAACTCACCGAATCCAAAAAGCAACATAGAAAATTAAGGAAAAAAACTAGATGAAATAAATCTACACTTGAATTGCTTAAAACAAAAAGTTGCAGAGTAAAATGTTTATATATTTTAACTCCGCTCACTGCTAAATCACTGAATAAAAAGAACATCATAGAAAATCAAACAGATTCGGCTTTAGCAGGTGAAGGGAAATGATGAGGTTAGAGAACGATAACGACTACCTGAGAAGAAATCATCGCGGCGAGGAGCTCGAGGGAGAGAGCTATCAGATCGACGATCGACGTCGAGGTTGCGGTCATCGTCATGGTCGTCGTACTTCCTCATTGTGTTGGTATTGAAGAAGCGGGAAGCAGAGGCAGTGGGACGAAGAAGAGACCTGGAGAGGAGGGAAGAGGAGAGGAAGCGCTTCACAGCAAGAGAGGAAGCCATTGAGATTGGAGCGAAAGGTATCTACGAAATTGCAGAAGAAGAAGATAGAGAACAAGTCACGAAGATTCTGTGTGCATAAACGGTGAGGGCTAAGTGGCGATATTTGAGGGTAATGCATGGGAAGGACTAGAAGGTGCTAGAAAAATTTCTCGAAGGTTCCAGAGCGGAGAAACAATTCTGGAGAAAGTGGGAAACTTGGGCCTCAAGTCTTAATTTTTTTTTTATTATACGTATTTTACATTTTTGCACTTTTATTTCAGTTATTTATACTTTCCTTTTTTAAATTCTTTAAATAACAATTAAAAATATATACTTTATTATAAAAACATTTTATTCAAATATCATAAAAATGTTATTCTATTATATATTTATAATTCATTTTAATTTCAATATTCTAAACTCTAATGTTAAAATTCTTGAGGTAACTTTGTTGGTAAAAATGTAACAGATATAATGAGTAAAGTATTTTCGATTCCTATACTTGTTTTTTTCCCCTTGTGAGTTTTTTAGGGGGCGTTTGGTTGAAGAGAAATTTTTAAAATACTAGGAAAATGTAATTGATAGGAAAATAGTTAGAAAGTGAGATAAAGTGAGATAGATAGGAAAATGTAAAAAAAAAAATTATTTGGTGAAAAAAACTTTACTCGAAAAATTAGATAACTTTTATGAAATCTATGTTTGGTTGGAGGTAAAATATAGATGGAAAAACAAGGGGTATTACTAAAATAACCCTGAATCTTTCGAAAGGGCGTGCTTTAACAGGTGCCCTATGTTTTTTAATCTATACATTAACAGGTGCGTGCTTTGCCGCAAAAAGGCTGATTATCTTGCTTCCAAGAAGGTAAAGTTTTCTGCTGTATCTTTTACAAACGTGAAACTATCTCCTGATATTTGATGGATCATGTGCTATTTCACTTTTCTCCTATTCTTTTGTAATTTGCTATATGTTCTTACAAGTGAAGATGATTTTGGTTCTTGCTTTTCATTGCTGACCACTCAAACGAAGTGGGGGCTGGGAGTAATTTCGGTAGCTTCAATTTCTCACTTTCCAATTTAGACGGGTATCGATCACAATCCACATACAAGATCGGTTTTTAGTCGGTGCGCATGCCCTGCTTTCTGGACCAAATGGAGAAATTCCATGCAAATAGGATAGATGGTCACCCTTGAGAAATCTGTCTACCAAACGTAGTCTTTGAGGATTGCCAAGTTCATTTGGCTATCTAAATTCTAGAATCTCCTAAACCAAACAGGGCTTTGTAGACTTTTTCAAGATTTACGTATGTAGTTCTTCTTTACTAAATAATACTTAAATAATGTTTTAAGTAAATAAATTAAAAAATTTATTAAATACTCAACCTTTTATATAAAACATTAAAGTTAATTTAAATAATCTGTATAATCACGAAAGTATTATAAGATAATTTCATCAATGCACGTGGTCCCAGTTCACTGATGCCAAGAATATTTGGGCCTTCTTTCTCAGTTTTTTTTATCATAAATTTAAAAAAATAATTTTAAACTTTTTTAATAGTTTATTAATTACTAAATAAAAAATTATAAATCCTTTTTAAACTTCTTCGTTACATGTACACACTGGATTTTATTTCATGCAAAATCAGATAACAAGCAACTTTCTAGGTTTTACCACTTAATCATTTTTAACTTTGGTTTATCATCTATCATTTAACATGACTACAAAAAGTTTTCTACACATACAACATTTTGTGGGGCCCACAGCAAAAAAAAAAAAAAAAATCGACACACAAAAAGAATCTTTATAACATAACACAATTATTTTTCCTACATCATAACTCTTGTAAAACTTTTTAACTTTTGCTGTGACGTTACACTTGTCTTAGTTGTTTTTTTTTTTTTTTTGGTAGACTCGCAAGGATATGAATTTTTAAGAGTCACGAACATAAATACAACTTATTTGAAAAAAACATGAATACAAAAATTCTAAATAGAGTCTCATAAAAATTGACAAGGACTCAAATATTTAATGTACTTATTTTTATATCTTTATTACTTTGTATGTATTCAGATCAGTTTATTTCGAAGTAAAAGCTTTTTCGAAATCTTCATTGAAAATTTTAAATAATTTTTTTATTTAAAAAATTAAAAACAAAATGCACATTTCTAATTTTAATCTTATTATATTATTTATATGAGAAAAATGTATATCATTTTAAAGAATGTAAAATTATGTCATTTTAAGTGAGAGAAAAAGATAGATAAAAAAAAAGAGTAATTAAAAAAAATAAAAATAAAATTACACATCTTTATAAAAATAAAATAACATAAATTATGTTATTTAAAAAGATAAACTTTTTTTCTATTTAGATAACTAGAATGGTGGAGATGAGAAAATAGCAAGATTCAATAGTTATTAGTTCAGTGAACCGAGAAAAACGGTGCGTTTCAGTTTATTAAATTTTCAGACAACCACCCCTGTGAATTTCAATATTATACTTTAGTCCGTAATCACAAGCTTAACGTTACACCAAAAAAACCTCCATTCATGTGTTTGTTGATGGATCTCCGATTTGAAACCTGAAGACGGTGAGTGAAGTAGTTCCTCGCTCTCGCTGCCACCATGATGCTCGATTTGGGTCCGTTCTCGAATGAGAACTTCGACCCGAAGAAATGGATCAACTCGGCGTGTCAGAGTCGTCACCCTCAGGACTCGTTGGACAAGCACCTCGTCGATATGGAGATGAAGCTCCAGATGGTTTCCGAGGAAATCGCCGCGTCGCTCGAGGAGCAGAGCTCCGCCGCCCTCCTCCGCGTCCCACGCGCCACCCGTGACGTCATCCGACTCCGCGACGACGCCGTTTCTCTCCGTTCAGCTGTCTCCGGCATCCTCCAGAAGCTCAAGAAGGTACTCATTCTCTCCACGTCACCGATTCAGATTTATGCTTCTAGCGTAACTTAAACGGTGCAGAAATTTGGGATCGGAGTAGGTTTATTACAATTAGAACGTCGAAATTGAGCTGAAGCATGAATCATTTATAATTACTTCATAGTTGTTTGAAGATGCTTTTGATATCCTTTGTGCGGAGTTATAGATCTTTGTAGAAAGCACCGCTAGGTAACTCAGGAACTATTATGCACCACGAGATACGGTACTGAATGATCTGAAATTCGGACATGTGCGTTGAGATCTTGTTGGGAGCATGCGTCTGTAAAGTGGTTATGTTTGTTCATTATACACTTATCGTTTGCTGCTTCAGAGGTTATGGCTGTTAGATATAAAATCATTCATATGCTTTATCCCAAGGGCTTAAACTTTTGGAATAGTTGGGTCATAAGAATGACTGTTCATTGAAATAATATTTCACAGTTCACACTAGTAAATCAGTGAAGCAATTTTAGAGATTTGTATTTTATGGGACAATATCTTGCTTGTGTAGGATAGAGTTGTTTCTATGGTTTCATGGAACACATTTTTCTATGCATTTTTTTTTAATCAAATTAATGGTTTTGAAAGGCTTTGTTGTAGCTTGTATTGGTATCAACCTTGTTTGTTTTGCTTCTTTGTTTTTAATTTTCACCTTGAGTTTGTAGGAAAATATCTTGTCTTCAATGATGTTAAATTATGTGTCAGAACACTTGCACTTTCACTTTTTTTTTTATCTCCTAAATTTGTTATTTATTTACTTTCTTATAGGCAGAGGGATCATCAGCTGAATCTATATCAGCCCTTGCTAAAGTTGACATTGTCAAGCAGAGGATGGAAGCTGCTTATGAAACGTTGCAGGTAGAGATTGCTAATTTGCATATTGAGAATTTGTTAGTTCATATTCACGTAGCTTAATGGGATTCTATATAATGATGCAAACTCGCTTCTTTCGTATTTTCATAACAGGATGCTGCTGGATTAACTCAATTAAGTTCAACTGTGGAGGATGTATTTGCTAGTGGTGATCTCCCTCGTGCTGCAGAAACTCTGGCTAACATGAGACATTGCTTGTCTGCTGTTGGGGAGGTACTAATTTTCCCCTTTGGTTATCATGAACTGCCTGGGGTTTGATATTTATAATATAATATTTATTTTATTTTATTTTTTTCACTACCCTATACTTAGGTTGCTGAATTTGCCAACATAAGAAAGCAACTTGAAGTCTTGGAGGATAGGCTAGACACAATGGTGCAGCCTCGTCTTACAGATGCATTATCCAATCGCAAGGTTATATATACATATTTTTTTCGAACCATTTTCTTGCATCCTATGATTTGGATTTGCTCCCTTCTCTTAGCTCTTATTGTTATTATTCAGGTTGGTGATGCTCAAGATTTGCGGGGAATTCTCATTAGAATTGGAAGGTTTAAGTCTCTGGAATCACAATATACAAAGGTTCATTTGAAACCAATAAAGCAGCTTTGGGAAGATTTTGATTCAAGAGAACGAGCTAATAAGTCTGCAAATGAGAAGAAAGAAATGGAGAGGATATCAAGTGGTGGTGATTATCAGTCGGTTTCACCTACAATATCATTCTTTAGTTGGTTACCAAGCTTTTATGATGAGCTACTACTCTATCTTGAACAAGAATGGAAATGGTACTGTTTCTAGTATTAGCTTCCATTGTTTTTTGCTGTTGAACAAATGATTGATTAAAAAACTATTAATAATATTAGATATTTTTTTCGTGCCCAACTATGTGTTTCATTTTAATTTTGGCCAGTAATTTTCATGTTTCTTGTTCCATGCAAATCAGTTCACATTATGAATAATACTGTACTCAAAACTCGGTGTGAATGATTTTCATTTTGCACAATGATACTAACCAAATTTGCATATTTAAGTAGTGTAATAAAAGTATTTGAGCTGTTGCTTGCAGGTGTATGATTGCTTTTACTGAAGATTATAAAACTCTTGTCCCAAGGCTTCTAAGTGAGACTATGATGGCCATAGGTACCAGTTTCATATCTCATATCAACCTTGCCATTGGAGATGCTGTTCCAGAAACTAAAGCACTGGCTAAAGGTTGTTCTTAGATCTTTTAAAAGGTTTCGTGTCTGAGAAAAATGTTAGCATTATTTACATATTTTATATAATTCATTGTATGTAATAAAATAGAGCT